GACCCACTTATGCGACGAATTTTTTCCTGGAGCATGATAAAAAGAGGCCCCTCACTTATTGTACCGTAATTCCCAGTCTGTAAAATAGTCCAATTCTAACACGTATTTGTCTAACAGCGGGCCCGAAATTGATGTATCAGATAAAGACCCACAACTCTGCCGGAGCCGTGGCTTGTCGCTAGACATCCTTCATGCTTATAGGAGTGATTACCATTGTCTCTACCGTCACGGGAAAAGATGGTTCCACCCCAAATCAGATAGTGATCTTGAAATAGGTGCGCTTTCGCATTCCACGGAAAAACCAACTTGCTTTACGATGTCGTACGAATTTATTGATATCAGAACGAATGACTTAAATAACTTGAATCATGTTACGGATAACGTTGGAATTTGTTGAGTAGGTACTTTAGTCTGATATGCTTGACATAACTCTGCCTCTGACTTAGATCGGCTATCTCAAGAATCTTACCACTCAATCTCAATCACGCTATTTCCAATTCCTAAATATCATTACCTAATAAGGATATACCAATGCTTGATTACAAATTCTTTATGCTTAATTAATCATGGTCCCCAGTCACGCCTTACGCGTATACAATATATTATACTAAGCCGATACAAAATATAAACTCCCATTTACGTAGTGTTTTATTACTTCAGGCTCCGGTATTTCAGGCTCTGCAGTACTTTAGGTTCCGGAGGTAGACATTTAACCCCACCTCTTTCCCAGACTACCCATGACAGAACCACAAGTCGACCACTACCAGATCGGACCCAGACCTTTAGCCCCACATTTTTTCGCCCATTTATAATTGACCTTAACCCAATTCTTAATCATGAACCCAATTCTTAAAGATGACCTAAAATTCAAAAATAACCCGCCCTATTACATCTCCAACCTTGACCCCAACCATAACTCGAATCACGACTCAAACACGACCGCAGGATCCAACAAAATCTTGAGTGCAAGCATTAGGTCACTAATGGGACACAAAGTAGTTGGGCTGGAAGTAACTGGGGACAAATGTCAGCGACAGGATATACTGGTTCCTAATGACAGTATCTTAGACCGGATATTTATTATCGGTCTGAATCCTATGTTCAGATCGGACCAAAAATCATTTGTTGTACAGAGTATAGCGGCTACAACGGCTCAATCACAAACATTCAAATGACATACCTGGTATTTCTTCGCGACATTCTATGGTCGCACACTATATTGCACACGTCCTGAAGTTACTGAATACGAAGATTCTTATGAATGTTTACTGTCGAACCACACCAATAAAATCAACCAATTACTTTATTTTCTCCTGTCACGAGTCCTCTTAGTCTTGCAGATCCCACGACTCTTTATGATAGAGCGGAAACACAAAAGACTTCATTTGATTCAAATTAATGCATCTATTATACTGATCTTGTATCATCTTTGTGAATTGTAAAGCAAGATGTATTGAACGACATTTTTAGCTCAATTTGGTTAGACTGTTGTCGTTGAGGCGTTTCCAGAAGTTCTGGTAAATCGGAACGTCAGCTATATTCAACATATATTAGCAGCATTATTAGTACATGAGTTGTGACAGGAAAATTTTAACTGATCGTTATTAACATATTGTAATTTATTCCCTCTGCTATTCAGTAAATATTGTATTATTAGTTTGCCGACCTTTTTCTTCGCTGCTTCCTAAATGAAAGATCTGTCTGGTTTTATGACATACCTAAGTTCCCAAAAATTTGTGTGCCATTATATTGAGCACAATTTATTTGAGCCCGAAAAATTTGGGCAGAAAATTTGAACTCATTTGGGCGACCGAAAATTTGGGCACAAATTCTTCGAAAAATGAACGATTTTCCACTAAAATTTCAGTTAGATATTTGCCTTAGTTCATTATTATTCCTTATTATTCCAGTCATTTTGCTTTCAATTTTAAGCAGAATTAGAAAACTAAAATTTCAAATATTATTTCACTTGGATATGAAGAAAAAGCCATCTTTCTATAGATTTCAGGGCCACAGGCCAAATGCCAAAAGTTTAGTAAGCAAAAAATTTAGCAGACGGAAAAGATTTATGCAATTAATTTGGTCTGCAAAAAATTTGGGCGAGAGGCCCGCTCAAATTTTTTGTCGCCCAAATTTTTGGGAATTAAGGTAGTTCATAAAACCAATTTATTACACATTCTATAGGTTAATCGTCAGTAATAGACGAGAACTTGCAAGATTGTTACGAGTTTTGAAGAATTTATCCACACATCACCAGAACGTTTCTGGTAATAATTCAGGATTCGGTCGAGAGTCGAGACAAACTTTGGCTGCAGGAAGACTCTCCTGCTTTTTCAATCAACCATCAAAAATTGTACAACTAAACCTCTCTCTCTCTCTCCTCAACATTTCAGGTTGAATTATCATGCATGGATCACCTGATAAATTTACTTCTTCAGAACAATTTGTCAATTAGATCACATAAGTATCATTTTTTTATGTGATGAAACCTTTAGTATAAACAATTAAAAGTAATGAATATTATAGTAACACCCATTGTACAAATCATTAAAGATTACAAAGGTTGGTAAGACCACACCCAGTCAGAACACTTCCTTTGTCACACGACCAAACCAATTATATTTATCTGACGAAATCCCTACGTTATCTACCGGCTACCAGTAGGTCATAGCACACATTACACAATATATAATCACGGACAAAGCACGAATCACGGACAAAGCACGAACAAGGCACTTTGACAATTTGAACAGAAAGTCAAAACTGATCATTTCGTTGCGGAATTGTTGATATCTGCATGTTATAGTATATATATATATATTACTTGTGACGCATTTTGAGCACTATCCATCAATTAGCTCGATTGATTGACGTTGCTCCTTGAATATGACGATCTTCTATTGTCTACCATTTTAATTGATCTGTTAACAGCGCAGGTGTTCAGTTCATACTTCCTATGGATATCTTGTGACACATTTTGAGTATTACCCCTCAATTAGCTTCATTGATTGACGTTTGTCCATGGATGTGACGATCTTTTGTTTGACGCACTTTTAATTGATTTATTAATAAATGCAGTTGTTCAATTCAAAGTTTCCTTGTGGTGTTTTGGAATGTGACATTGTGAACTTCACGTAGATGGTACATTCTTCTACTTGCATTACAATATTTGTTCCGACAATCGACATGCTATCATAGAAACAAATAAACTTCACGAAAATGAAATTAAATAAATATCATGCTATCTTTGAATTATTGCATACTAATGATAGTGATACGTTTCCAAATGCCAATGAATTAAAAACGTATTCAACACGTTTTTGATTCTTGGTGGCCTAATGATTCATATCCTAAAATAAATTTGATGAAAGCACGATAACTTTTCCAGTACTGATGTGCTCGGTGACTACATTGTCTCAAACTTCAAAGTAAAATAAGTAGATTTGTGAAGGTTAAAGAGCTCACGTAAATATCATTAAAACAAAGGATTCCACGATCATGTAAGCTACTTTCGACTATCAATTGGAGCTTCATCACTTTAAATATTTTGTAACATATTATCCTTTATTAGGCTGTTGGCGTGTTATGTTGCATGCATGATAAGATGTTACGGTTGAATGGGATAGTACCTAATAAACCTACTATAATATAATATGTAACTTTGTAACATGTATATTATAATAGAGTGTCAGTCTCCACCAACTACTCATAAAGAATGTTTCCTTTGTTCAATGAAACAGCCCCTGTATATATTATGTGGTGTCGGCAACCATCAAAACATTTAACTGGAGGACTAGGTAAATAAAACATAATTTATGGTAATGAAGCTCCAGTTGTTGTTATTTAGCCGGACAAGTAGACCATCCTCAGACTTGTTGTCTTATCGTGTTTGCACATGAAAACCTTTATATCTTAAAGTTTATTATTCAAGACAGTTTTCTAAATGAGGAAACAATAAAGCCTTCATATAATGCATTGTAGATTAGCTTATTTTAGATTAAGAGAAAGAAATGATAACTGCTGATCCAAAAAGTACCATTATATAAGGGACGACCAAATTCTCAGTGTAGACAAGGCGTAATCTACAATCTACATTCTACAATAGTACGCTGTTATCAGTATTTGTGTAATATTGTGTGTCGATCTTTTAATTTCGAACAATGTCAAATGAAAGTCTATATAGTATCTTCCTCTCTCCAGTGGAGTAAAGAAGTAATGGCCCATATCATTATATCCAAGCCAATGCCAAGATAACCGATATCCATAGGAGACCTCGCAAATTGCTGATACTCAAGGCCAGATCAATAATTACCGATTACCGTCATTATAAGAAAGCATCACATCTCCATATTCTAGGACCTGGTATTCTATATCCTTAATATCAATTCTAGTGAACTGCGGCTCCAGCAACTCCCCAGCGAACGTTCTGCAGTAAACGCGGTCTGCAGTAACATTGGTGGAATACTTATTGAAGTACTCGGAGGTTGATATTATACTTATAGTTTATAGACTACTCAATAGTGGTATTTCAATATGTTCACGAACAGCAGTTCAATGAGTGTATTTTGTTCGGCCTACATACTTTTGCTTTCAGGGCAATGGCTTGTGGAAGTAATAACCGATCTGTATAATATTGATATATCATACTGTCACCAAAACAGTTTTGTTTGAAACTTAACTATTAAAGTATTAAATAGCAGCCAGCTGGAAGAAAATTTAGGCTAAGATTAAGTCAGTATATAGTACGCGTTCTACAGATCTTGTTACTTCAAAGGTCGTATATAATTGTGGCAATTGTGATAATTTTGCAATCTTTGTTGAGCTTTCTAAGACTTTCTTTACTCGTTATTTATATACAAACTCGTTATTTATAGAAATTGGGACGAACATTAATCACAATAGCATGACAACCTAAACTCGATTGATAAACAGAATTTACATTCGACAATTAAGTATGATTAGATAACAACATTCATTATGTTATATTCTACTAATCACCTCTCCTAGCAAATAGATGGAGCTGATGTGACCCGCGCCGGTTAAAAGCAGTAAAATATGGACAATTTCGCAGACTCAGTGTTTGGTACCCTGAAAAAAATCAAGACTTCCTTCGGGATCCCTGATTCAGATGTGAGTATCTCGTTATTTCTAGTTTGTTAAAACTCCAGCTTAGTTTTAGCTTTTTGTCGAATTTAATCCTTGAGATTTGACTTCGGATTGGTCTATTATTATATGGTTTTTGCTAAGTTTTTAAATTTTGTATATTATGAACTATTCAAAATGATTTTTCACTAACTTTGATGAGTGATGACTAATTATTGTTCATTTTAAGTTTATAGCATAGTTTAGGATAATTAGTATTACGAGGTTTTCTACGTAATATGTATCCTAAAAACTCGCTCATCCGGACGTCAATAACATTAAGATAATGTAACACACTGCTCAGGGAGAAGATGAGGAGAAGAAAGTGAAGACAGATGGAGCAGAGGAGAAGGAACATCATACTCATAGGCACAAGACTCCGGCTGGAAGGGGAAAGAGACATAGTAGAGAAAATGTACTCAATCCATCCAGTGCAAATGAAGCACCTAAAAAGGTACGAAAAGGAGGAGAACGATTAGAATTACCACAATTTTCCTTACACAATATTATTTAAATGATCTGTAACAGACGGGCAAAGCATCGCACCAATATTTGAATGTTTTTATTGATCGAGACATTTTGACTTTTTTTTCCTTTAATCATGTCATGGTATGTTTTTTGATATGTTTGTTGTTGACGAGATATTAAAACTTAACATTTCAGAAAAATATTACTTACGAAACCGATAGCCAAGGAAAGGACGGCACATTGCTCGCAATCGCAAGGCACAAGCCTGACGGTAAGATTTTATGATATTGATAGATCATATTAACCAATTTATTCAGAATCTAGCAAAACTTTAGGTTTATATTATTAAATACGTCAATATATAAATTATATATGCTATAATTAGTTTAAATTAGGGGAGGGAAAACACATTGTCGGTCATTCATGGAAAATGTCATAAAAGATATAATATGGTGTTATGTTTTTTAACAGGAAGTTAATATCAAAATAGGGTTCAGAAGTCCAATTAAAAAAGATACGATACTTCACAATCTAACTTCATAATTCATTTTCATCTTGGATCGATTGATCGGGTGGTGTAGTGGTATTTCACTCGCCTCCCACGCGGAAGACCGGGGTTCAAACCCCGTCTGAGGCAGGCAGGCCAGGTCACCAAGCTGTGATTGGTACAGGATTTATCCTGGTAATTATGCTCGGAGGATATCAGTGACGCGATTCCCACTACAGTGTAAGCTGCAGTGTAGCTGTAATGTCTACCGCCATTCGGAATGAGTGTGAACTTGCTTACCAGGCAATCATGATTTCCGTTTGGTTCTCATCAGGTCTCTAAGAAAGCCAACAGTGTGCTGATATGCATTGTCATATGTACTTCCTAGAAGCAGCATACGGCCCATTTCGGACTTGCACGAGTTATAATTATTATCGATTGATTCTTATCATGCGCAGCTAACACTCTTATAATTACAGGACCAAACTCAGAAACTGGAAAAAGAACGCGGTCAATGAGGCTGGCAAACAGCATGAACAGTGTTTATCGCAAACTCAGAAACGACAAGAACATTCACAACGATCGGCATTACCTTGTAGCAGTCACCGAACATCTCAAGGTTAGCACAACAGTTAGTGACTACAGTTAAATTATTAAATAAATTTTAGATCCCCATGACTTATCTGCCATAAAATTCAAAACTAAATAATGTTAAATTCTAGGAGGACGCTCCGGATAACAGCGGCCAGAAGTAAAAACGTATAAAGATTGGTCCTGGACCAGTTCAACAGAATCTAACTACACGTTCCGCCAGGATCGTGCTTTCTTACTTTCAGAGATTGGGCTCCTATTGAGTTCCATAATCAAGATGCAATTATTCCATCGGGTCAACCTGATTTATATCCTTGCTTGAAATCCTTGTTTTAACTTGAGATGGGTTTGTCACTTAATCATGTTTTTTAAATTACTATACTCAATTAGGTTCGACGTTATGTATAATATCTCTTTAAAGCTAGATTTATTGATTCATAGTGCTTACAGCTTTGTGATTATATTTGTGACTTTCATAAACGATGACTGAGAATTATTTAGGGAAATTAAAACACTGATTTAACATTGATTTAACATTGTGCCGGATTAGTCTAATATTATGCCGTATTGATGACAGCGACTAGCCTATCGTGTAGGTTTTTAATCAAAGATTTTGAACTGGATGTTAATCTGGTATCAGAAATTGTATTTTTCATTTCTTACTTATAAATAAACATAAAATAAATATTCAGTATATAGTAATCCTCATATTTTACACAGAACATTTTAGATTATCAAAGATAGGTGACAAATTGCACAAGATCTGACATTTAAATCTTGCTAAAATTTTATTTGGGATCAATTTTGTTGAAACTTAATGTTTTTGAGTGAATTCTAATTCCAAAAACAGCCATCAATGCGTTTCTTTTGAGTTTAATTTGCATTTTTTTCGCCCGAACATCTATTTGAGGGACGAGAGTTCAGAGCACTTGATGACCACAGAACTGCGACACTTGAGAGGTAGGGCTAAACACTAAATTTAAAATTGGCTGATTAGTGATTCAACTAGGAGAGCTATCATTACAGAAGGTTCAAGTCTAACCGAGCTTTGTACGCGGCGCGTACTACTTCTATCACACATTCTACATAACAATACATTTAAACTTTGTACACTAGTAACTATAGAAATTGTCCCCACAAATTTTGATGACAATTGACACTCATTACTATGATTGTTAGATTGATAAATGTAGAGATAACATAATAGATATCATGCAATTTCATGAGCCACTGCAGCGTATGAGAATTGAGGCTGAAAATAAATAATAAATGGAGATAAGATTAAGATGCAAATTACCAGTTATATTTCTGATGAGCTAACTTACCATGAAAGATCGTGATAGCACGCCAGACGATCGCAACTGACTTCTCTCCAGAGATCATAATCTTCAGTGTCGCCACCTGAAAAGAATTCAGCTACTCAGGAATTATATTAACATGAATTAAACGTTAATTTTAGAGTCTGAATATGACTGACGTTGATGATTTCAGCTATTAAGATTTTTTAAGTAGGCGAAACAACTTTAACTTATCGGATAAGCACCAACCTTCTGTGAATCACATCTTGAACCCAAATAATCCAACGTCGTCTACCCCCAGTTAGCAACAGGAAAACCACATTTAACACCCTAAAACAGGAAAGAAGGATCAGATCTATTTATTTGTATGAAAAAATTAGGTTATAAATATATAATAGAATTATCATTACGATCACCGTAATGTTATTCTTCAGAAATAATGATTTCGTCATGTATAACGCGATCAATTAATAAAATAAGATAAATAAACACATCACTTAACATATCAAGATTCAAGAACTGATATAAATAGTCACTCTAAAGTCTAAAACGATTATGCTTTTTCCTTTCTCCGCAGTAAATTGGGGTATTACTGTAATAAGATATCAACTCCAAAATAGTGAAATTTTTGTCCCAATTTCAACGCACTTTAATCTGGTGCGTAAATTTAAATATATTCCTTTTTTCAAATATATTCCTAGAAGCTAGCACATGAAATTTGTTATTTATGTAGAGCAGATCAATTTCGTTGTTTTGAAATTCATATCCACCCTCATAGAGACATTTACCAAGTAAAGAGAATACAACACATCGTACTCCTAACTTCATATCAAGAAGGGGGATATCAGAGAACCCCCAGCTATCATCGACAGTTTTCAAGACTTTATTTTTGTCGAGAACAGACTGCGTCTTCTTTTTCAGACACTTTCTGCCTTTTCTATAAACGTTTGTTAGCTGGTTTTCCAGTCCCTTCTTCTTTTTGATGTCATGTGTTGCTTTCTTTTTTTTGACAATGATATTTCTTCGGACAGCAACGTAGAATGCATAGATCAATGACGTATCTTCTTACTCGTAGATGGTGATTACGGATCGTTTCTTTTTGACATCGTTATCTTACAGTAGCTTGACGGCTGGATCTTTGAGATAAACTGTCATCTTCACGACAAGTCCTTCACCCTGCAAATAGGCCGAAAATTTAGACAGCTGACCGAAGAGATCCACAGCGACCTTTTCCGGTGTAACATCCCACAACTTACCTTTGATCTGCTCGCCTACAGTAGATCTGTATTGATTCTCCATGATTAATGTAAACCGGGCATTAATATCTGAATCTCGACGACATCGGCTCATAAGACATTCTATAGAACTCTTGATCTCTGGAAACGAGGTCGACGCAGTAAGTCCGCCAATGTACCAACTGGAGTTGCCGACAGCGGCTCATCAGACATTCTATAGCACTCTTGATTTTCGGAAACGAAGTCGACGCAGTAAGTCCGGCGATGTACCAATTGGTGAACCGATTGCAGGTGTCAAATGGTCCCTGAACAGTGATTGAAGAAGTAAAGTTGTGGCGAACCTCGGGTTGATATAATGACAGTGGAACATGGCCGGACTGATCGTATAAGAACTTCAGCCAAATGCTGTACGTAGTACCTGCTAATCCAACAGCCATACTGCAATAAAATCAAACTTTGTAGACGTTCAAAGCGTAATCATACAAATATAGTGGTAACAAGTGATACCAATTGAAGTTTCCAGACTCAAGGTTACATGAGTTCAATCCTCAGGGCTCAAGGGAGTTAATGCTCCTAGTTTAAATAGCAGGGGTTATGTTTAAGTTAGGCACTTAGCAGAAAACGAGCCAACAATTAGTTAATCCTCTACAGGAAAATTGATAATAACCGTCAATATTTGCTATGTCTGTTAAATTGACTATAGGACCCGTTTACCTGTACCTTGGCATAAACACCTCAATACTCGCATGGACTTTTTTCTGACCAACTTCTTACTTCTCTATTTAACTCGTTTAAGAATTTCGATCGGTAATTAACCCTTATTATCACGGCTCTTCCTTCTCCGATCTTTCACGTGATTAAAACACGTGATTTTATCTCATTCTTTCCTTTATTACACTCGTTTTCATGCTCATGTATAATTCATGATTAAACCACATTGTTTTATGTATAGTAGCCGGCCAACCGAACCCAATTTGGAGTTTTCCTAGACAGGGTAGATTGGGAAAATAATAATAAACCCAATCAGTCTACCTAGTTAACTTTGAAACGACAACTGAACCCAATCGTAACTAAAAATAAACAGTTTTCCAAATGCAGCTCTAGTTTAGCTACTGCCTGGTTTCTACTGCTATTATTTTGGTGACAAAACAGAGACAATATCAATACTGGACATAGGCAGTAGGCACAAATGCAAGAAAAAACCACAAGCCTAGGCGCTCGCCTGCATCTATTTACGCAGAGTTACCCCTATACTTTACACCACGTTTCATTACTACCTTACTCGGGAATATTATGACTGGGATAAAGTGGTGGGTTTTGGAAAATTCCGCCATATTTTTCCCGGTCATTAATTTTCCCAGTCATAAATTAACCCGCTATAATGTTCCCGAGTAAGGTAAACTAATAGTAATACATTTTGATGCTTGGTGGGTTTTGGAAAATTCCGCCATATTTTTCCCGGTCATTAATTTTCCCAGTCATAAATTAACCCGCTATAATGTTCCCGAGTAAGGTAGTAATGAAACGTGGTGTAAAGTATAGGGGTAACTCTGCGTAAATAGATGCAGGCGAGCGCCTAGGCTTGTGGTTTTTCTTGCAATTCATATCCACCCTCATAGAGACATTTACCAAGTAAAGAGAATACAACACATCGTACTCCTAACTTCATATCAAGAAGGGGGATATCAGAGAACCCCCAGCTATCATCGACAGTTTTCAAGACTTTATTTTTGTCGAGAACAGACTGCGTCTTCTTTTTCAGAGACTTTCTGCCTTTTCTATAAACGTTTGTTAGCTGGTTTTCCAGTCCCTTCTTCTTTTTGATGTCATGTGTTGCTTTCTTTTTTTTGACAATGATATTTCTTCGGACAGCAACGTAGAATGCATAGATCAATGACGTATCTTCTTTCTCGTAGATGGTGATTACGGATCGTTTCTTTTTGACATCGTTATCTGACAGTAGCTTGACGGCTGGATCTTTGAGATAAACTGTCATCTTCACGACAAGTCCTTCACCCTGCAAATAGGCCGAAAATTTAGACAACTGCCCGAATATATCCCCAGCGATCTTTTCCGGTGTAACATCCCACAACTTACCCTTGACCATTTTACTTACTGTAGATCTGTATCGATTCTCCATGATCAATGTGAACTTGGTATTTATGTCTGAATATCGACGAAAGCGGCTCATCAGACATTAATTTTCCCAGTCATAAATTAACCCGCTATAATGTTCCCGAGTAAGGTAAACTAATAGTTATACATTTTGATGCTTGGTGGGTTTTGGAAAATTCCGCCATATTTTTCCCGGTCATTAATTTTCCCAGTCATAAATTAACCCGCTATAATATTCCCGAGTAAGGTATTCATAATTTACTAGTTTTTCGTATTTCAATTTAGATGAATGAATTATCATAGTAACTCTGCGGACCTCTAAGTAGTATATCAAGTTTTACGGAAAGCGAAAGAACTCAACCTGTGGACAGCACGAGCTGCAACTTTAAGTTCACCAGACCGGTCTGAAGAAGAGGGAATAACTTGTGAAGGAAATGAAGGAAATGATAGTAAAGGACTCGACCAAGCGTTAATTTATCAGAAATAATTAAGTGTGAGTTATTCAGATCGAGTCCATAATAATTAACTGTCAGAATAAACTGCATGTTTGTTTTAAATGTTTGTGTGTAGACTGTAGAAGGAAATTGGAACTGATAATGAATTTCCAGTTAGGCCAAGATCTGTACTGATTAGGGTTTATTGTGTGTATTTTTACGTGTGTTGCACTCAGGGCCCGATGTAATTGCTATGACTGCAGTTTACTGGTCATCTGGTGTTTCGGTGTCCCTAACTTTGTTTACACTTGGTCACTTGTCGAGGCATTTTTTTGGTCGTTCGGCGAGTTTTTATTTTATTTGTGATAAAATGATGTTAATTTGTGTAACAATCTGAAAGTTTATTGATTTTAAAAAATTGTACGAAGGACATTCATTTCTATTAAATTTAACGGCCATTCCCAGCCCTCTCCATTGCCTTTTGACACCAAGCTCAGTAAGTGTATTGATTCATAACGATATTGGAAACTTCTGGGGTTTACAAGTTATCGTTCTGTATCAATAATTATAGGAAAATTAAGACCTTATAGTCTTCCGTAGGCCTGCGATCACCTTCGGATTGCATGTTGCATGTCTATACTTTTTGGCCATGTCGAAGCGATGGCATCTAATACAACATAATGTTAAATTGATAAATGAGAATGAGATAAGAAGTTAATTACCAGTTAGATTTCTGATGAGCTGACTTCTATTACCATGAAAGGTCGTGAAAGTACAGCAGACGATGATCGGGACTGACGTTCACTCCAGAATTCCAGTGTTGCAACCTGAAAAGAGATTAAACGTAAATTTTAGAGTCTGATCACGTCGAGTGTGCATAATTTCAGTTGGTAATATTCAGTTTGATAGATTAGATTAGGTTAGAGGAAATAATGATGAGCACCAACCTTCTGTAAATTACAACAACCCAATTACAATGTCATTGACTTCCAATAAGCCTTAGAGAAAGTGAATTTGACATCCTAAAACAGAAAAATGGGTTAGATTTTTACATTTATTTATTGGTAGCATCAATTAAATGACAAACATACAACAGATCATTTATTGAGATCACTGTTAGTGCTTAAATCTCGGAGGTAATTATCCGGAAGATAGTTTTTAATTCTTAAGCAGTTTTGGTTTAAGCAGGTAGGAAGCAATCAGTTAATGAAAGAAGATAAATGAGCAAATCATTAATCATATCCAGAACTGATATAAATATTCACTCTGAAACGAGTATACTATATAATAAGAGATCAACTCCAAAATCATAAATAACTCAAAATAGTAGAATATTTTACCTTATTAAAATTTGTGATCAAACATCATATTAAAGTCAAAACCAAAAAGTTGTTGAAAATTTTGGAAAAACTTAAACTGTGCCCTAAGTCAAAATACAATGAGCGCAACAATTGATGATTCAAAATAGCATACTTATTTAAAGCCTTGACAACCATATCTTACGCATTATAATACTCTGCTCAAGACATGCTAAAATCAGTGATAAAACATTTTGAAAATGACACAATTAACAAAAAAGTGACTTTTTCGTCTCAACTTCAACATACTTTCATCTGGTTAGTAAAGTTTAAAATTAATGACACAATGTTAAAAGAATGATTGGCTCTGACCACAACTGTTAAAACTCCAAAATTGACAACCCGAACCAGAAAAAATGTAAATCAAATCCGCATAATAAAACCCATCATCTATTAATCACATGGCTCCATCTTCAATTGAGCTGGGTTATAATTTCTGAAAACATTCCTAGAAGCTAGCACATGAAATTTGTTATTTATGTAGAGCAGATCAATTTCGTTGTTTTGAAATTCATATCCACCCTCATAGAGACATTTACCAAATGAAGAGAATACAACACATCGAACTCCTAACTTCATTTCAAGAAGGGGGATATCGGAGAAGCCCCAGCTGTCATCGACAGTTTTCAAGACTTTGCTTTTGTCGAGAACTGACTGAGTCTTCTTTTTCAAAGACTTTCTGCCTTTTCGATAAACGTTTGTTAGCTGGTTTTCCAGTTCCTTCTTCTTTTTGGCGTCACTTGTTGCTTTCTTTTGTTTGACAATGATATTTCTCCGAACAGCAACGTAGAATGCATAAATTAATGACGCATCTTCTTTCTCGTAGATGGTGATTACGGATCGTTTCTTTTTGACATCGTTATCTGAGAGTAACTTGACGGCTGGATCTTGGAGATAAACTGTCATCTTTACGAAAAGTCCTTCACCCTGCAAATAGGCCGAAAATTTAGACAGCTGACCGAAGAGATCCACAGCGACCTTTTCCGGTGTAACATCCCACAACTTACCTTTGATCTGCTCGCCTACAGTAGATCTGTATTGATTCTCCATGATCAATGTAAACCGGGCATTAATATCTGAATCTCGACGACAGCGGCTCATAAGACATTCTATAGAACTCTTGATCTCTGGAAACGAGGTCGACGCAGTAAGTCCGCCAATGTACCAACTGGAGTTGAATGGTCCCTCAACGGTGAGTGAAGAAGTGAAGTTGCGGTGATCTTCGGGTTGATATGATGACGTTGGAACATGGCCTGTCTGAGCACAAGAGCTTAAGATCGATACTACTGTCTCGAGAGACAATTCTGGAAATGGATCTGGAAATGGTGCTAACATATCCTCAGCATGAGATGTTTCAACGGGGGGCATAGACTTTAAGAGATCTGAAAAGGGTGTCGAGCTTGGCTTTGGACATAGACAACAAATACATCGATGAACACATGAGAAACTTACAGTTTCCTGACTTGTAAGTGACTGACCAATATGATCCTCAGATTGAGCATCAGAAAACTGATAATTGTTTAAATTGGGCGGAGTTGGAAATGCAACACAGTCTTCAGGATGCTGGTTCCATTTGATAGTAAAGGGGACTTCCACCGACTCTGCTACATGATAACTATTATTGGCTTCAGAATATTCTTGATAAGGGCTGAATGGACTGATAGGTGAGGGGCAGAGAGATATTTTCTGCCGTTTAGCTGGAGGTGATAAAAGGCCTTCTTCATGCACAACGTAGTTTAATTTTGGCTGAATCATAATAAAAATTTCACTTCAACTACCATGCAAATTCAAATTGGCATAAACAATAACAATGGCTGTCTCGCGCGTGCGATATTTGGCAAGTACAAACGTGTTTGCACAAACGGGAGAATTGCCAGTGAAAAAACGCCTCTTCCAGAAATATGGGTAAAATAACGCGACCAGTGGAAGAGGCAAGTCCGATAGTGAGAATCACGCTTAAAAGTGTGCCGAGTAATCAATCTTTGCTCACAGTAACCCATGTATTTGAAACAAGTGCCCACATGGTTTATCTGTATCACAAATCTCACTAATCATTAAATTTACAAAATAACCGTTAATGCACAGTTTAGAAGCTAAACCTGAAGTACGATACACCCAGATCCATCACCATAATTTGAGTCACGAGTCTCATGGTAAATAAATAATCCTAGACCTCTATTTTGCCTATGTGATTGCTACATAATATAGGAGATTGTCCACAGCAAATTACAACGCAGATCCTTTAAACAGTAGAGGAGGAGTCTGATAATAAGCAGAAGTAATTTTTGCACCAATTATCACGACGTAGCAACACGAGAAGAGGTGCTTCATAAATAAATAGCATCACCCAAACTAGCTCAAATTTGATAAATCGCAAGAACTTGATACGAAGAAGTAGAATATATATAAACATGGCTAATCAGCACGAAATCTAGGAATTCATCCATATGTCTCATCGCACCACTAATCCACTATGTATGGCAATTATGAGCTACAACAGGAGGCACAGAGTATAAATCAGGCTTTAGAGGATTCGGATTTGTGAACAATCTAAAATATATAAATATATTTTGCATTTACAGCTTTTTCTATATCATTTAGGGTTTTGTGTCACGACCCATACTGCATAGGCAAATTAATGATGAACTTGTATTTCACAGACGGGTAAATATTGCGAACATCATAAAACTTTAGTGTACTAAATCACTGCTTTGTTAATCGAAACGATCAGAATTTAGGGTGAATGTAATGAAAGCTGTTAAATCGTGGCACAATACAAAAATGCAAGATAGAAAGAAATGCTCTACAATTTATTAAGTGTGACAGGGTCGAATGTTTTGATAAGGTTCACGAGTGATTTGACTGTCTTACCTTCGCACGCATTCTGCCGATAGCATAACATTAACTATAGGGAATTCCTATTTTCATTTCAATCACATCCACTTTTTAGACAAATAAGTCATAAACTATTAACTCATTTGTGAATTGTGAGACAATGACATTTTTGCAGCTGAGCTTCAAACACATTTTTCTGAAATCACTCTGAAATCACTGATTGAGTTCATAATGATAAATAAACACCGATAGTGCGTATCTTCTATTTTTATTTCTACGGCGACTGACGAATACGAACTCAGTTTCAAACATTTGAAAACGTTTTGTTCAGTATCCTTGTCACAAAGAAGCTGATGATCTCTAGATCTATACTTTTTTTTGCTGATTCTCGTTCTTTAGCACTGTCAAGATCCCAAACTTCCAGATATGTATTGGCTTTTTCTTCCCTTTCGAATTCATGGCATTTCTTAGCGTAGCGTACAGTCTTTATGATAGAATAGTGAACTATAATGTCCTACACCTCGATGAATCAATCATTTTAGAATTTGATGAACAAGAGAATGCTTTCGAAAAATGGCGATTATTCTTGATAGGTCCGGTCACCCTGAAAATAAGTCAATTCACTCAATCGTGCCTAACAACATTGCACCTCGAATTTCTAAAACAATGTGGCGAGTTATCAAAAATTTGTCGTCTTGGTGGATGCAATCGCAAGCTGGGTTTACCAAATTTAAGTATGACTAATTTGAAGATATACATACATTCTATCATTTAATTCAACATGAATTATAAAGCTTTTATACACCTGGCATTATCACCGTTCAACTTTCTGAGCATTTTGTTTACAATTTTCGATAAATAAATTTGCATTCGCATTGTTCAGTCAACTAATACATTTTTACACGCGACAGATTCGTACAGAAAGGACGATAAAACAGCCCTCACTAGAGCCTCTAATTGCTGGCTAAAATCAAAATCTCCGGTTGGCTGGCAAATTTCCCGTTTTATGACATCATGATCTAGTGACTGTGCTTTGTTTGAAAGAATTAAAAGAGAACATGAACAGCTTGAGGGTTGCAAATCATGGGCTGTGTCGAGAGACAGGACCGGCACAGCTGTGACTGGCATACATCTTCACATAATTTTCGAAAACATATGTATATTGTACAAAGGGATGATCGTGTTTTAACTTTCAATCAACTTATATATTGGTTATACAATGTCATATATTAGTGAATAATGAAAACATACGATGCATTAATTAGGAAAAATATTTTATAAGATGAAAACATTTGTATTTGTCAATACAGTCAAACATCTAAATACCGGGCCTCTCGGGGGAATCGATAAGTGCACGGTATAGAAAAAACCCGGTATAGAGAGGTTCACCTGATCCCAATCTCCAGTATCTGTAGCTTCTCAAATAACCTATCAACCATCTCATATACCCCATTGCATTAGTATAGTACAGAGGATTTACACAGGATTTCTTGCACAACACAAGCTAATGAACTACAGGTTTGGGGAAAGAAGAGGCCCGGTATATCGAGGTAGTGTATAGAGGCCCGGTAGATATAATAATAGAGGTTTGACTGTATAGAAAATGGGATTTGGTTTCCAATGAGAATAGCATGTCACAAGACTAATCATACCTGAAATCTGGAGGGCTGTATATGTTGCCAGGGTTATCATAATATTCGTAATCCAACTTATCCATACTGTAATTGTTACACCTTATCTGGAAATTATTCAAGTAAGGAAATCGTGCTTGAATTTACAATGTACGACATCATCACTACAAAGCTATTAATACTATGTAGAAGGAAAAGTGAAAACGCAGAACAATTACATCTTAAACTTTAAAATGATGGAACTATGGAGGGAACTATCGATGAAATTGCAGTACAGTTCGATAACAATAATAAGTACCTGAGCATACGACAAGAAGAATAGTTTATCAGACGTCAAATCTAACCCGTGAATCTTGAACGGTTTCCCCTTCTTATCAGCATTCTTATACGCCTGAAAATTAAGAAGAGATCAGACTTCAAGACGAAATAACAACCCATCTGTCCAACATGTTCCTGAGCGCAAGAAATATCGTAACTCTACTCTATCGTAACTCTACTCAGCAAATTGAGGAAACTTTATAAGAAGGGGAATAGATTGTGACGTCAATCCTAATTAGCACTATTGAACCTGCCTCAAAAAAAATTTAAATTGTAAATAAAATGCATGGTTAGTATAATGTCAAATTTAATGAGCTGATCATAAATACGTCATATTTCCCAACATTAAAAGAATTAATGGCCGATAGGAAATGTAACAGACAAGACATCATCTTTTGGTTGGGTTGGGGGATTTGGGTGGTCGAGAAAGAGCAACTAAGAGAGAGGGTGTTCAAAAAGTGGCAACTGCGAGACGTCACATATAACAGCTGTTCATTGTGCCGGATAAAATCAATGATCCAAGTCACAGTAAGTTTCGACTTACCCGATAGGATACCGTCAATCCACCATTATCAGCAAAATTTTCTTCTAAGGTCAACGTTCCGTTAATCTGGTGCGGGTGATAATGATGAAAATCAACCGTAAATTTACAGCAACTTCCGGTAAATCACAAAAATTCATTATCATATTTCAAAGTATGAAAAGAAGTTACAGAATAATTACATTGAAGTTCTGGTGTCCAAAACCATTGTACTGATTAATTAGGCAATTCTGCTCATTTTTCACACTCTCCGCATCTTCAGAACTCCACAGGTCATTCTGTAAGCCCTTTGAATCGTAGTGCATACCTTTCTGATCAAACGCGTGGGTAATTTCATGACCTATGATCGAACCAAGTGCTCCAAACTTCATCGGTCTGCAGGTTGCAAGAATTTTACTGTTAACGTATACTGTTCTATTACCTAAACAAAATAGAAATTGTGCTACTAACATTTTGTTCTAGTTTTCCAGAGAGTTCTCAGCTGACGTGCAGTATTTTCGTAACAATTGGAACAATCGAAATTAGTGGGCAAACGATCCGTTTTATGATTATGATAAAACAATACCGATCTACGGTGCTAAGGACTGTGCTAATTCTTTTACAGATAATCCACAATTATGAAAGTTAGACTGATGAGAAAAGTTATATATTTACTTTTTTAGCGAAGCATTACCAGGAAAATAATAAAATTAATATCCATACTTACAGTGGCCATCTTGAATCGAAATAGGGAGGAATAAAAGCGCCGATAGGGACACCTGGGAACACGCAGTCATTATTCTGTCGAATAATTCCATCCAAATTAACTAAATACCTTTAAATCGTACCAACACGTACCAATATATGCATAACCAGAAGCTGGAATTTTGAGAATCTCACGAATCATTAACTTACTGATAGCATTCCCGTCTTGGTAGTATGCTGCATTTAGAGAGATTTGTGGGCCCATGGTAACTTCCCATCTGCAAAAAGCGTGCTCATCAGCATCCTCATTAAATGAGATTCAGTTATGAACAATAAAAATGATAAGCATTAATCAATCGTGCATTGTTCGAAATTGGTATGTGGATGATTAGGTTTAAAATAAAATTGGTGGATCAGTTATCTTAGATTCACGTACAAGTCTGAAACTGGAGGATGAAGAATGGACTGTATTTTTTTCTTCTGGTGAAATGTGTCCACCATTTTGTACATTTTTAAGAAGGACATAACATCGTTCAGTTCCCCCTGGAAACAAGTCCAATTAATGTTTTTGTGGATTCTTTGCGGCTTCTCAAGTTAAGTGAACATTTTTAACTGAAGTATCAAACTAGGGGATTTGTTACGTTTTAAAAATCAATGGTATAGAATCATCGATTGAAGCTTGCCTTACATCATAGTTTAACTTCTTTAGGTGGGTGTCATTCTTTATCCAGGGCGCTGCTCCCAATAAGATTTCAATGTTATCCAGCTGAAAAAGTGCGATTTTCAATATGCTTGAAGAACTTAATTGATTTTAGAAAATACTACTGTGCGTTTTTGAACTTTCATTATTTCATGAAAACTGATTGGCAATTATTATTAAGAACTTAACCGATATCCGATAACAAATCTTGCTTGACCTCAGTCCTCCACCTACTTTTTTGATAGCAGAAGATTTTCCCTCCTGGCTAAGTAAATTACTTTCGCTTATGGTTTGCCTGTACTCCTCTGTAATGATAGAAACCATTTCTTGTACAGTCTTCAAAGTTTCCGTCTGAAACAGATGTTCATTGTTCAATTGGCAGTCAATTTTACGAGTATTCTCTAGCACAGGCTGGAACGGAGCGTTTAGTGCAGGAAAAAAGAGGGCATAATCTAGAGAGCTGAGAAAGCTGTTCTGAAGAAGATGTTGGACTTACGTAATTAATATTTTCCCTGGCAAGCATTAGAGATCCAACAGTGAAACCGAAATAACTCGACGTCTGAGGTTATTTTAAACTTTATAATTGTTCTTAGTTAAAATATATAATTGATAGACACATCCGATTATGGGGGGAAATTTACTTAGAATTAATATATGTAGCAGTGACATTCAAGTACAAGTATAATAGGTAATTAGTGATAACCTAAGATATTTCAGTTATCAAATAAGTTTAAATAGGCTAAAACCGTTTTGAAATCAATTAAATTATTAGACCATCACCATATATTTAAAATGTTTACCAAGTTACTCATTATCTCAAGACTGAGATGTGAAGTTTGAAATTAAAAGTGCTGAAGTACCCCCAAACCCAGTTGAAATTATGACATTGTTTTCCTAAGAAAGTAGAATACACTGTACTTACAAAATAAGTATAACAGAACATATGGTTTCTCTCTCTTCTCGCCAATCTGGTGTACCGCTGCTGGAACAAGATCCCCGCGTACGTTTTAGCGAATTTAAACAGTTCGTCTCTAATTAGGAATGAAGGGTCGTATTTTTTGTTCGTGGCGATAAAAAACTAAATTTCTGATATGGAGATTTAGACGCTGTTCAGGCTAGGATAATTAAATTACAAGGGCCTTCCACAAAAATTGATCTTAGATAAGCTGGTGAGAAATTTTATTCACAGGAACGTTTGGTATTTCAAAGTTTCAACCTAGACCCATTTATTAATTATTTAAAAACAATACCCATCAGCGAGGTTATCAGTGAAGAACTGTTCTGTTGTGTCGATGAGGTCTGGATGAGCTTGTATATCATCAGATGGTTTCAAACCAAACGTTTGGAAGTGCTCTGTTAAGTTAGCACATGTTGTTCTAGTAATGAACTCGCTGATTGTCGTGCCAACATTTGATTTTTGGGCGAGGGATTTCTGGAAATATAAGGGTTAGAAAACGGTCAATCATGATAAAAGGTTCAGCTGTGAATTGTTATTTCAAAATTTAAAGATTTCAATAAAACCGACAAAAATCCAAGTAATACTAATAGCACTAGAGGACCAAATGTTTTTCTAGGAAAATATTTCTCGCACTAAAAATAAACCCACCATGGTTTCCACATACTTCATGATATTATCTTTCTGTCCTAAATCTTCAGGCAAGTCTTTTATCATATCTTCTATATTGTCCTGAGATAAGTGTCACTGACTAACTTAACTGTATTGTTTTACTATTTGATTAGAAGGGTAAGCTAAGTTGGTTGTTTCCAATGCAGGAAGAATTTAAAAATTACATCTTATTAAGTTATTAGCTTAGTAACCAATCCCCAATCCCCATCGTAGTTCAAATCAAACCTCATGAATGTTCCAGGCATATCTCGCAACGGGATTCTGCGGGAATTATGTGTTGTTACGTGAACGTTTACCAATACAGCAATAAGCACTGATCTCAAATAGATAATTAACATCAATTGAGCAGCGGAATCAAATTATTTCCCCGTTCAGCTAAAATGTGTCCTATATTTTCACGTTCTCACCATGCTTAGAGGACCCCATTCGACATTGACCTCATAGAAAACAAAATATCCGAGTTCGGCGGCAAAATTCATCACGTCTTCAATTGTCGTAAAATCAAACAGTCGTTTTATCCACGCGTCATTATCCGTCAAATCTGATTCTCCATTATTTATACAAGCCTGATACATTGTCTTGACCTGAAAATAAGGTACCTTACCTGACCAATTATTGAACGGTGGAAAAAGTATCAATACCAGTAAAGACTAAACTCCTATCATCTTCAATTACATTGCCACATATCAAAATAAATTAACCACTCACATTTTTATAAGACACGAGGTCACTGTCAAGGATATCTTCAGCCAGATACTTCTTGATTCTTTCTTCGTACCGAGCATTCTCCTTATCAATCACAGAGACATCATCTGATTTGAGGAAATTAGATTATGATAACGATTGGTACAATTGAACTGATAAACCAGTCCACGAACTGCGATATAATTGATAATTGTCGATCACAGGAAACGAGGTTACGTCCTAATTCCTGTCCAATGCCCATTTTTATCAGAACCATGAATGCACGTGCTGATGTTATAGTTATGGGGCATGCTTAGTCGTGGGAGGATTTGCACGCACATGCGCTAACATGATTTTACGTTATTTGGTCTCTGTAAACAGCAAAAAAGTCTATGTCCGCGCTGTCTCCCGGCTAATCTAGTTTGGAGTGCGCTTGAAGAATTTTTTGGGTGACAAACTGTTAAGTTGTTAGAATACATTGTCTGGGACCTTTTTTAGACCAGCCAAAAATTCTCCACAATCTGTGAGCACTGCTAGGAATCCTTACAAATATCACATAAAATCTTCCATTAGACCAAGGGCATGCCAAATGATTTAACGATAAGGCGTGAGATCGTGCAAGGAAGGAACCAACCTTTCCACTGACTCTGTACCCAGGAGCCGCAGGAATACTGGTAAAAGTCATCGCAAGGGTCGACAGACACGTCTATCTTCGAGAGAAGATATGAGGATGAAATGACGTCATTCACAGGTGTATCACTCGCTTTCACCTGTCGGTCATATTCGTTACAATCAAAACGGTTCAAAGGTGAAAATACGAAAACGTCTACTTTGAGCTGTAAACGGAACCTCCCTGCAGTTTCTTTTCGTTTAAATCGTAAATTCGCGCGCAAAAATTACACCGGCGCGCCTTCCATTAATGATGCATTAGACGCGTAAATTATTAGCAGCGAGTGTGTTGAACGAACAGTCACTCGCGCCGCGCGTAATACAACAACGACTAATTTCAAATTATATTTAATTATTAATTTAAACTTCAGTTTTGCAATTTTGTCAATAATTGTTATTCAAATATACAAGTGGTCATTTCATAAAGGATTATATTGTTTTATTTAACGGAGCAGACTATTTGTAATTAATGATTGACGCGGACGGTAGTTTATTCTATTTGCTAATGACAAATATTACGCGTTCAGTATTGATAATTATGGTATTGGCATGATTAATATATAATATAATTGTTACGCTACACTAGTTTATGGTAGGCTTAATAAAGTTTTGGTCATTAACATTGAAATAAGATATTAGAAATTTTATTTTTCAATGTAATTCTAGTCAAGTAGTCAAGCCGCGCATCCAAGCTTTATCCAAATTGCAAACTTTGTAAATGTTTGCGGAGTAAATATTTTCGTTTTGAGTATTGAAACTGAGTTTAAGGTAACCAGTTTGTAGAGTCATGCCATGCACGTAATTTAAGCTGATATCTTTCATTAACATTGACGTTTTAGCTAAATAGAACAACTAGACTAGATTTTGGGGGTAACTAAGCTCCTTTGGTTTTTTGCAATTGCATGAAGCCGTATACTCATTTCTAGTTCACTTTGAAACTATAAATGGCCAGTAGAAATGTTAAGGTGAAAATGAGACTAAATCAGCCCTCTAAATCTGAAATTATCATTTAACGCCCTATTTTCACCTGATAGGAACTCTTAGAGATTATCCATGTCATTAAAGCGACTACACTGAGCGAGAACAGGGCCATCAGACCAAAGAGAAGGTTCTTGAACATACAACGAGATGGTTTTTGAGGACTTGTCGCGAGTTTGGAGTCCTTTGGTTTGTATTGCACACCACCAGTACCCATCTGAAAAAGATAGTTGTATTATGAAAGCAAAAATCAAGTTCTGCAATCTACAGGGATCAGCATTTTGAAAACTAGAAGATTGGGGTGTATCAATTTCAGCACATGCACAGCTACTGCATCCAGATTTATAATTCGAAACTACTTGACACTTGTCATCGTTCATAGTTTCAAGCGATAAATAATAGTAATAGTAGTAGTAAATAATAGTAATAATAGCAATAAATAATAATAATAAATAGTTAACAAGTTACAACGTGGGACTTTTTGATGGCATTTCACGATACGGATACCTCATTCTGGTCAACGTCGACCGCATTTTTATTTCCAACAATCATCATCAGGAGACGACAGGTTTCAAACACAAATGAAGCGCACAGGGTCGAGACGGTACGGAAACTAACACAAAATGATGAAGGTAATGGGTATTGTATTTCGGGAGATGTTTCTTGTTCCTCCAAATGTTATATATATATTCAATCAGGTAGTGGTTCTCTCTACAACTTTCTCTTAACTAAACTAGCTGTGTAGCACCTTGACAAATTCAATATAAAACTTTACAGCTTGAGCCAAAGCATGACAATTAAATGCTCATTCCCAAAATGGCGAAGTGATCGAGTTTTGAAGTTCTTACGAGAGATCTAAATTTGATTTAGCCATTAGATTACGTGGTGTTGGTGCTGAAGTTCGTACATTGTTCAGCGGTGTGGGGCCGATTCAATAAGGGTTTTGTTCGATAAAGTGTAGATTTACTGCTAATATCATATAAAAGGCTGTTAATGGCTTAATGGATTGTGATAATTTTAACGAACAAAAGAGAGAACATTACCCAAAACAGGATGGAAAGAGGTCATGAATAAATGCATGCCATCCCGTTCAGTAAATAAAAACAATACAGTAAGACAGTAGAGCCATTTAAATTGACCCCTGCATTCTCCGAAACAATGAATTGTTTCAAAAGGGAATTTATCTCTAAATACACCTGCACCCTTCATAATCTTGAATCAAATGAGTTCGATTGTATGAGTTAATAAAAGTCAGTAAACTTCATAACTCACGGAATTTGACTGCCCCTTTGATCCACCCATTATGTAATTGGTACTCATGGGTACCACTACCACCACCGACTATAGATTTAATTCCCATATTACTCCCCATTATAGGTAAACTGATTAAATAACTCAGCCATGTTACTTTATAAACATCAGATTATAATTTCTGGTTCAAGTTCAGTTATCGATAATACTTCAATGTTAGTGCAATTCTAGTATCCTGATCCAGTCGTGGCGGCCTTTGTTAAAGCAAGTTTGCAGCAGGTTATAGAAAGAAGCCTCTAAGTCTTATCAAACACATTTTGTACTTTGTAACTATAGGATACAGGGTAGACCTAGAAATAGACACTTCACAGATTTTAAATATTGAATCAGGTACGGAGTAGACCTGAAATCTAAAACGTAAAAACTTTATGAATATTCCACTGAACCCCACTGAACTTAGATCATATTAGATCATAAATGACAACTTGATGTCAGATTATCAAGGAAACAAATGAGAAACAGTATTTATTTTGGTCGTTTGTAACAGTAGCAAGCATTGATGTCATGATGTTTAAGAGGGGCAGAATTTACTTTTGATCTGTTATAAAAAGTATACTTCTGGTGTCATGAAGTTTAACACAAGTTTAAACATCCTGTCTCCATGCAAAGCATGCCACAAACTGTGCCACAAGCACATGCTATCAGCTCGTCAGATTTCATAGAAACTCGTGCGATAGACCTGTTGGTTTTCAAGAATGTGTCGGTGCTATTTCTGGAGAAAATACTAAAATAAACAATATTGAAAAGACTCGATTATACTGAATAAGCAGCAGCAGAAAAACGATACACTGAAGTACTAAGGACTGAGGATCAATTCACAAGGTTAACAACTCCGAGAGATCGCCACCCTGGAGTGTCATGCACCTGAGAATAGTCCCCCACATGTAATGTACTTAATTCGATACACCACAACCCAGCTCAACCTTCCCCGGGGGAGCACCAGACATTTAGAGCACGCGTGGAGCAGCACGTTCTACCCCTTTTAAACCACGAGACCGGGCTCAGACCGGGTTGGTAAGCGGTAAATCAGTTTTCAGACTTGGCTCTAAATAAGAGTGGTGATACTTGCTGTGTGCTCTGTAAACGTATAACGATGTGATTAGTGGGCTGATTGGAGGTCTGGTCGGAGTGAGAGAAGGTGAGATAAAGGGTGCTGAGAGGTTTTTAGATGTGTTTTTTAGGCAACGTCTTCTAACTTGTGATTTGATTTGTTTGGAATACTTGGCTGTCCAGGTATATATCTATCTTCTTTAAATTTGGACAGTCTTTATGCGATTTCGCCGTGCAAAGATCCACTAATCTATTTAATTTCTCTAATTAAATCCCAATAGGTGTCGAAAGTCGATACAGAATGGGACAAAGTGCCATGAGATCGGGTCATAATTCTATCCTGTGATTGGAGCACCTCAAAATAAAGTAGCACGGCCAAATTAGTGCAGTCATTATGGGCAGGGGAATTAGGGAAAACACCGGCACCGTAAGATGGTGCAGCATGAACATTTGGCTTGATCTCAACATAGCATTTAATTCAAATTACCAATTCCGCTCTGTAACAGAACTAATAGTAGTAATAGTTCTGGTAGCTGGTGCTTTCAAATTTCCGCAGATCCAAAGAGGTCAGAAATAGACAAAGTTCCGATATAATGCCTCATTAAATATATCTGTGTTCCGTGATCTGCTGGGCTAATTAAAGTTGTAAATAGGGGAGCTGAGGGTGTTCTGGTCATTACAAGTTCAATTCATTTACACGTAGGTAGATACTTCTGGCACTACCGTAACAATTTAATTATTGGTGCGCATGGTACTAAAGTAGATAGTTGCAGATTTTTTGAAGTACGTGTATTCAGTGCACAGTGCTTGCTGGAATGGAAATTAAATGTTGCGGTTATCAGGCCCTGCTATCACAATTTTCACTGCCAAAGCCACTAAAGATTGCTAAGTAATCTTGATGGAATAACAGGCACAACACATTCAGTGTTTTTACGAAATTGCTTTACAAGTAGTACTTAGAAACCGGAATAAAACAAGTTCTTATTCACTCTTCAAACAAGTTCTTATTCACCCTTCAAACAAGTTCTTATTCACTCTTCAAAATTAGAAATAACTAGTAAGCATGAATAATGGAAATACAAAAATTACAGCCATGGTTTCCTGAAGAAGAGTGGGCACGATATCGATTAAAACATGTTAGATATTAGATCATTTCAATAGTCAACTTCAAAGGAATCCGGTCCTTGAAATTATATGCGCTCAGCCCAAATGCTAGATTAAGTATTTACTGTTACGTCATGATATATGCCTTTTCTGGATATACGTTGAACGGTGAAATACAAAAATGTTTTCGACCTCGGAGAACATTGAAGAAGCAAGGAGAGTTCAACATCAATAAAAAGTGGGGCTGTAAAAGATAAAGATATAAGATGGTAAAAAAATGGGCATTATTACTAAATCACACGCCAACTTTTACAAATCTTATTTAATAAAGTATCTGGTCAAAACCTGACACAACTTAACGAAGTCTGATGAGTTATTTGTGTTCCCTAGGGTCTCTATTTCAAAAACATTGGGTGGAAGTCTTTTATGAGTGCACTCTACCCGAAACCACGCCCTTTTGTTGGCGTGGGAAAATGTGACAAACATTTTTGAAATTTGCGTTTATTTTGTGATTACTTAATATGATACCATTTGGTAATATTAACCACTCATCAGACCTCTTCAACTCGCTAAGTTGTGCCCAGAGACAGAAAGATAAAAGACAAGAAAAGACAAAAAACAGGCTTAACTGAAGCAGTCTATTAAATTATGCAATATATTTTATTCCAATTCTAATTCTAATATATATTTGATTTACAATGTCTGTTAAAACTGTTTCTTTATCTCTTCAAATTGTATTAGAAAGTAAGTTATGGCCTGTGAATTAGCTCTTTGAGCTTTTGGCTACAAGTCGATGCACCGTACAAATAAAATATCACAGAATGAGTGATCAGCACAAGTATTACCAATCAAGATATAACACGCAAATATTGGAAAAGAATCCATCCTTGGCCCATTCAAGAAGTCTGATATGAAGAACTTTATCAGTAGAAATTGTTAAAATAAAACTGCTCAACTTTCACCATACACAGCTCTGTTATAGCCATACAACAAACTTTAGAGGTAACACGTCGAGAGTCAATATAATAGGAATCATCAACTTTAAAACCACCCGTTCAATAATTATTTAAACCAATAATGTTTTACAAGTGATATTTCTTAATAGTCATTATTAATTGCCGAGTTAGTGAAAGTATTTCACTAATTTGGAGGATGTGTGGCGAGTTTACTGTTTTCCGTTGACGGTACGCATTTCAGTGCCAGTAGCAGAGGGCCGGGTACTTGTCCTCACCGCTCCTGATTTAGTAACACTTCCGAGTAGCCGACCAGGTAGTTCCAAGATGTGCTGCCTCATTGACTTCCTTCTCAAGAAGTAGATGACGGGGTTGAGGGCGGAGTTAAGGGGGACAGCCAGCCATATAGTGAATACTCCCACCAGCTTTACCACCTGACTCATATCGTGACCAGCACTCACGATGAATATCTCCAAGTACAAACAGACTCCGAAGATGGTGTTGAAGAAGAGGAAGAAGACAGAGACGATGAGGACAGTAACTGTGGCTTTCCTGTTAGACTTTGTCATTGACTTCCGGTTGAGGGCGTTGTCGTGTCCTCTGTTCATGTTGGCTAGAAGCTCCCAAGCTAACATTATAGTCGATCCGCTATTGGTGAGGACGAACAGCGTCAGAAGGACAATCATCACGGTGTTATCAAACTTTATGTAGAAAATAAGCTTTGGTATATCCGCGAAGTAGAAGAAGTAGAATCTCAGCAAAGCTCTGAAACTCTCCTGGCCGAGAAATACTGCTGATGCAACAGCAATGGCCTTGCTGTTGATCTTGTAGAACGGGAGGCAAACAGCTATAGCTCGTGTCACACCCAGAAGGCAAGTAGCGTAAGCAGTGCTTTCAATTGACAGATCAAACACAGCCAAGCTCAATCTAAATGGGAACTCACTAAACCCACAGCCAGGGCCTTTACAGAAGTAGAAGGCGACAGATAGGACGTCAAATAAACAAACTAGTAAGTCAAACACATTGAGCATGATAAAAATACGGCTGCTCAGAGTTTTTTCGGTTCCTCCGACGAAATAGGACAAAGACAGGGAATTTGTTATCGCTCCTGTTGCCCCAATGATCCCACTGGAGATAGGAATCACCTTTGCTAGAATAGTATCGGCCATTTTGGTTGAAAGGTCAATGTTAAGGACAAAATTAAAGAGTATTTGAAATTGAGTAAATCTATATTGTTTAATATTATTTGCGGTACCAAAAAATAAGCATGACATCAAGCGCACGTTTCAAGAGTACCTACTCAACAAACTAAATATCGCCTGATTATACCAAATCTTCCCGTATATAGTAAAATTGTCACCAATTACTTTAAGATACGGGAACCATTGGAATTTGGATTAAATCACAGAGCTATTTCAACTATTTGATACCACAATGAAAAGAAAATTCTGACGGTACACTAGATTTCAATGTTACCTCAAACATTTAAATTTCAGCTGCCTAGTATTTGATGATCAGCCACAGGAAATTTGTCATGAACTCTCATAATACGACATTTCGAATTAAATAAATTTATCTAGTACTAATCTGGTTCTATCAAATATGACACTCTTTTTTTTCTTCGAGGAATTTCTATCAGTGTTTATATTTCAGTGTTTGGAAAGTGTTTGGGTTGAAGTTAGGGTTTATCAGTTCTAAAGTTAGGGTAGATAAATAAGTCGAAGGTTATTCCTAAACATATGACAGGGAAGTCTCCAAGACTACGGGGTAGGGTCTTACCTTTTAATCCTGTCCCGAGCAAAGGGTGAGCTCAGGCCACTGCAAACGTAATCGAGAGAAAAATTCACAATAATATGATTCGAATTAGCGACAAAGTTACTTCAGACATCAAATGAGCCATTTCAGATACAATATAGCATCCAGCTAAAAACTGTTTGGCCGGAAGTTGTGAATTCACTAAGATATATATTTCTGCGGTAGATTCATTTTGATCGTATGCACAAAGTAGCCGTTCGCAAATATGCAATCTTTGGTAAGCCGCCAAGGCCCAATACAAGGGTCAAGGACGAAACATATAATCATTTTTGGAATAATATTGTAAATTCACGAAGTACCAACCTGTCTCCAAGGGGCAAGGAGTGAAAAGGCGCTACGAGACATTGAGGATCAGTCAAAGGTCGCCCGACCACCATCATCCCATCACAGCAGACTGTCGGGGCTCGTTGCCTTTAGTAGAGACGAGATAGGATTGCATGTGCCCTGTAACAGCAACAATGGGATTTAAATGATCGATACTACGAGCTGATTGGTTAATCACTGTCACGTGAAGGGGTTTAACTTGCACCACTGTCCGATGATCTGTTTAATCGTCTATGGACTATGGTACCTTGATAATATCGTTTCCGACTTCCAAGTAAGTTAGCATCCAATCAGACGTATGCGGAATGAGGCAAAAACAAGGCGCTGACGTCACAAGATCGGATCGATAAGAATATATGGTATGCTATCACAGCTTATCGCTGGTAAGGCGCGGCGCGCGCAAGGAACTGAAATAATATAGAATGAACATATTGATATGCGCGCGCGCGCCCCCACAGAAAGAATAACAAAATAGTGTTGATATATAAAACTTAATTTCGCGTCTTCCAATTTGTGAGGATGTTTCCCCAGGAGTTTCCAAAAGCAAAATCCAGATGCAACACTTTCGTTCTCACGTGGGGCTGCCAAATAGATGTTGCAAATTTCAAGGTTATATATCAGGACATTCCTGAAGTTTGAACTGTCGTGATATCCTTAGAGTTAGGAATGGGGCCGCAATGACACGTACGGTATTGTATTGGTGATCACAAAATGTATGACTGACGATGCTACTTTAGCACATTGTTTAGGACACTATTTATTTCTTTTCGTATGTTGGCACCATGAGAAATGTGTCCTAGAAGGAATGAATTTATGACTGATATTGATGATTTTGAGTCGCAGTTATCATATCATATTATCATTACATATATAAGGGCCGAAGTATCGTTGGGACAAATAAGACTATTGTTTCATTTTCCGTAAAGAATTAGTGAAGTGTAATATCTCACCAAATTTCGCGAAAATCACTTCTGCATGCAAATAAACGTAAAGCATGCGATGCATGAATCCCACACATCACATACGATACGTTTGAAATAATACGGAAGAATAACATTTGACGAAAAGACAACATTTGAATGCCGGCTCAAATGAACTGTTAAGCACAATCACGAAAAAATCTACAACCCGAGAGTTCTGAAGGGCAGGGAAATCTTAATTCAACTTTCAAGGACGAATCATTTTACAAATCACTTCACATAATTGTTATTTACATCTTAAAATTGAAATTGAATATGATTAAGAGTTTAACTGAAATAGGGACCATTTTTGAAACATTAGGACCAAGTCGATTTATCTTAATAATAAAGTACCCATAATCAAGTACCTATGATAGCACGATAGCTAATGATAACATCACGCTCTATAGCATTAAATGAACTTAAAAACTGCAATAATTTAAAATGTTCCAAGATTCAGGATGATCTAAATATTCAAAATGTTAGGAATTCCGATAAAAATTTGTCTGAGTCCAAATCGAGAGAATCCGAAATAGGTGACAGATGATTTAAGTCTGAGATGTCGGTGTTAAAAGTGTCCATAGGAATGTCATCGTTGTTAAAAAGTTCCGGTTCAGATCCGATGAAGTCGCTGCCATGTCCAGAATCAGGGGATCCGAGAGAGAGTGGAATGTCAGAGAAGAGGTCTGGATTTTCTGACTGCTGGAAGATATCATCCCAGTCAAACATGGAATCTTCCTGAGTAATAGTAGGACGGATATCTGCAACTTTGGGGACCTCAGGAATTATGGGAGTAGGTGCGGGGACAGGTGCTGGGACAGGTGCTGGGACAGGTGCTGGGACAGGTGCAAGGACAGGAGCAGGGACTTGTGCAAGGACAGTGGTGATCTTCTCAGCTGGTTTAGGTTTAGGAGCAATCATGAGGGGCTTGTAGCTGGGTTTCTCCACAGAACGGATACTACCCTCAACTATAACATGATTAGCTGGAGCTGCTTTAACCGACCCGGTGTTGGAGGCTTGCCGGGGAGCGCCCTTCCCGGGAGCACTTTTGAGTATAGCGACATAAGTCTTGCGTGTTGGTGCTGGTGGGTCAGTCTGGGTTGTGGCTGTGCACCGCCCAACTGATTTGGTGAAGGGTTCTTGTGCGGGTATACCCTGAAATAAGAGAAGTGTTATCTTTTAACTTTGTTATGAATATCACCACAAACAATACATTAAACCGTATAAATAGCCCTGGATAGTGATCTGCCCTTATCCCCAACTTCTACTCCTAACTTTATATAACGGCGGTCGTGAGTTATATTACTACAGTGTACACGTGAATCATAATAAATGCAAACATACGTTTACGAAATGTACACAAACGTTAACGTAATGCTCATGGGTGTGGGCATACTATCTTACGCAATATAATGTGCACATTGGTAACCTCAGATAACACTATACTGAACACCTCTCCTCACAACACTGTAAAAACACTTTGCTCTCCCCCACATCGGGCCGGAAAAGCAGGTAACAGTAAGATCTCAGCTGCTTGTGTGTGTTAATTGTTTTTGTAAGTGATCTCTCCTCTCATATTTACTACAACTACTGGACACACGTGAGCACCGAGCTGGGATATATTACAAGCTCACATTACTCTGACAGTGTAGCTAAACTATGTACATAGTTATGTTATACTTGGTATAAAAATTATTTCAGTAATATTTTAAAATGTTTAGTAAATTTTGTTTTCGTAAGTTCTATATTTATTCAGGACGTTACAAAAGGAATTAATTTAATGTAGTTTGAGGTGTCCTGGCTCTCCTCACGTCCAACAATGGCTAGGGTCCATTTTTATGGAGTGAAAGTGATAGGTATCGGGATTTAACTCAGTTTACAGCTAATAAGTCAGTGCAGTTTTTCTTGGAAAAGGACCACAAACATTTTAATGAACACTGGACGTCGCCCAGACTGGATCAAATTGATCACAAACAGGCCTTGATCCAGATTATGGAATTTTCTGCACTAATACAACATTCCCTTAATCTTGTCTCAGATCAAATTAATTCATCAGTATTACTTTATGAGTTTAGAAAGATTCGCGGAAGACCGTAGTTACCGGTATCTCAGCCTTACATGACGAGGAATAGTTTGAGCAATCGGAGGTGTCAAGACTTCTGTTCTTTGTGTATGGTTTGGACATATGCCAGTTAACACTCAAATAGCATACGCTATCCTATAAGTAAAATGTCATTAAATCATTGTTGAATACTATATTATACTAAACTATGTAAATAAAGCATGTAAGCCTGTACGGTGCTATTTTTTCGGGTAGATATAATTCTCTTATAATATTATTCTAGACTAAGCTACGTGTCCTGCTGGTATTCGCTAAGGAGAACACTGACGGCTTTCCAATAAGTGACTTGAGTATTAATCAAATAATTTCCGTTCTGTACCCTTTATCTCACACAGTACAGTATATACCAGGTCCTTCGCGTAATTTAGTAATTACTCAAATATTAAATAACAGCTCGCAGGTACGTACAAAACAAAAACAAAAGAGAGGGGGGAGTTTGTCTAATTATACCATATTTGGGCAGGCACCTGGGTCGCTTTAGTGCGGTACATTACTCCGCAGAATTAAAATATTACAATAGCTGGTCCGTTATAAAAGAATGAGAGTGGTCTGTGTTGAGCTAGCGCTGTGCATTGTGCATCAAGGCTCAAGGCTCAAGCTGTAGTAATTTAGTGTCGCAATCTTACACGCATGGAACCATGTGTGCATACCTTATATTATAGCACTAGTTATTGCATAACTGTGGGCGAGTCAGTATGTAGGCGAGTCAGCCATGTGGTCTATAATTATAACTATGAATTAGGGACAAAAATAATATTAATACTCAGAGGATGGAACTTGGCTCTAAAATCTAGATTTTTGTGAGTTTAAAGGGTTTCACTTTCTCATCAACGTCAAATTAATCCAGACACGTATCCGTACTACGAAGAATGCATGGATTTCCAGGAGTGTAACTATACATTTCAAACTGAGTAAGCAATTACTCAACACTGAATGAAATAGAGGCCGCGTGTACCATAACATGTAGATCAGCTCAAGTCTCAAGCAACTTAGCCCGCTAAAAGAACCCGCTACATTGACTATCGATCGGCCGGAATAATAAATGAAGCGCAAAGCACGGAGCTGTGTAAGATATGAAGATAATGTGTTACAATGTAATGTTACTTATGGTTACAGTACACATTTACCCTGCGCCAGTGCACACTCTACTTTCTACTTTGAGACTAGATGTCACATCATGTAAATCAGTACAACTACCGAGACAGTTCAGGTCTCAATACACCGCAACATGAACACGATAGCACATGTTTTCTGTGTAATAAGGGATAAAGACACCGTGTAATTAGTTATGGTCTTTACTCTGCGCACAAACACAACAATATTATGTTTATATTTCAAGAGTCTCCCTGTGAGAGACTTAGTGGAGACACGTGGACAGTGCTCTGTTGTTTGCAATATAATAATGTAGTAATGCAAGATAATGGTGTCCATATATACGCTTAAATGATGTATTTATTGAAGATGCTGAGCAAAAATTGGATCGTAATGGACTCACGATTGATTGTATGAGAAGATTAGCTGCAGATCGAAAAGGATGGAGAAATATTACCCGCCGAAGTTGTATAATACAAAGTAATGACGCAGATGACGCAGACTAATCCTTTTGGATGGAGATCTCGCCATGTAACATGTATGTATATACTCTACGTGTAGGTTATTGTGAAATAATATTTAGAGTGTTTCCAATGGGACCAGGTTATTGAAGGATATGGGACTACCACCATGCAATTAAGAGACAGGAATACCATTCGTACTCATAACAAATAATGAGATTGATCTGATTCCTAGAACTAAATTGTTGATATAAAACTGCACAAGTAGATTTGAGCGACCTCCCCTGCCCAAACGATTTATATCCCGGTAAATCCTTAATATAGTATAGTAGCAAAACGTTTAGGATCATATAATTTAGAAGACTTACCGCGCAAGTAGCTGCAAGAGTAAGAGGGCCCACGGCAGGGGACCTGTGATTACTGCAGAATCGTCAGTCCCTCTTAACTGCATGCTACATATCCTTCGTAGATTACTGTTCTGGAAAATAAAACATGTGTTATTCGGCGTTAGGTCAACTTCACAGAAGATGAATTCGAATTTTGTTGACTTAAGCATCAGCTTCACGTGACCCCACATCCAGAAACACGCCATCTTGCCAGGCAGCCTGGGAGGAAATTTTTTTTTGGGAGGAAAAACGGGAGAATAAGAGGAAATTTTTGAGAAGTTACTCCTAAATTTCGAAATATTTTTTTGGAATAAAGACAAATTAATTGAGGAAATTTTTGAAGAAAATGTTTCGATTGTATAAAAATCAAAGAGGAACATCCCGTCAGTTTTGGAACACAGTGAAATATTCTGATTGGAGAATGCAGATTGCTGTTGTGAAGTTACCAAATTTACGTGAGTACTTGATTCTTTTCAATCCCAGTTTATTGCTGTCCTACAAATTTCTTTAATGCCAAATGCCGTCTAAAACACCCTATTTCGCCAAAGGGCTCCGCCAAAGGGGCTCCGCCAAACTTGCGAGCGAAGCGAGCGGGCCACAGAATTTAGAAAAAAACGCATCTGGGAGGAAATATAAAACTTTCTGGATGTGGGCACGTGACAAAGTTCACTGAAATGTTGATGTTCAAGAAGTCGGACTCAGGACAGAAACGGTATATCTTTAACTCCTCCTAGAACATCAATACGCTAAGCTTACCTCTTTTTCAAGTTGAGCTATTCGCTCTTCAAGTTCTGATACATATAGTTTCTTTCTGTCTCTGGCTTGTTGTGCTGACATCCTGTTCTTGAGTTTCCTGAAAATGTAACAAGATATCAGTAAATATTCGCCAAGACAAAAACTGCGATTGCTCTGTTATCGTTGTGATAAATTGTGAAATTCAAGAATAGCTATGGTAACACTAACTCATTCTTTTCCCGCGAAAATTATATACCCGACTGAATATTATAGAATTTAATGAAGACGAAATTTTTGTTGAACAAGCAGACTCGTCGGGAAAAGAGGGGTTAGGGTTGCCGGTGATTAAGAGATTTAAGGTTGATATCTTCCTAACATGGTTGAAAATTGTTTTGATAAAGAGAAATTGTAAGATTGGCCCTTAAAGCATGGGGAAGAGCGAAAAAGATACTCCAATCCGGGAATGATGAATAGTTGAACTATAACAGGAAAGTTTAGTATTGGGTAAGCACTTTATTAACTATCGTTCAATATATTTACACAACATGGAATACCGCCACCCGACATTGCTTACGGTACCCAGAGGTAGCCGGTAGTCAAATAAACCACCTTAACTGTTAGGCAGAATTGATCGTGAAATGTGAAAGCCACTACAGTAGATGATGAAGTAATGCTCTGCTTTAATGAGACTTGGATTGTGAGCCCGTGAGTCTAGAATAAAATCTAGTAAGCTAAATCGAGTAGTGTTAGTAAAAAAAGACATGTGTACCTCTTTAAATTGCGCTCATCTGGAGACAGTTTCGAGTAATCTGCCCTCTTTCTCTTACGAGCTTCGGGCTGAGAACAATCGTTCATCATTTCAGTTTCTGAATCTGATTCTGATTTAGGAACTAAAGTCATGCTCTCAATTAGCTAACAACTGTAAACAAATCGGTGGTAATGAGTCAAGGTTCTTAACACAACAAACAAGAGACAGCGTTAACCTATCGTGTTAACATTCTATTGGGAAATGAATCTTTATCCAACGCGATTTATTTCGCCTCAAATTTGAAGGTGCAAACTAAAACAATGTTCGAGCCGCGCGCACTATAACAGTACAGCGCGCATTCTCGTAATATATAATTGGTAATATAATAATAAAATAACAATATTTATAACATCAAACATGAATCGGAATATTAATATTTGTTTTTTAACACACCAATTTAAGTGTGATAACAAAGCTAAGCTTAGTTCATTTTTAATAGCTTGTGATTATACGGAACAAATAATACTTTTGACACATGATCAATGATACTCATATACATTTTTAAAGTAGCGCCCCCCACTTTTTCTTTATTTGGCCCATGATCCAAGGCAAGTGCTACAAAGTAGCTTAGTCTTGTATCATGTTGTGACCCCCACGGTCGTTTCACTTTGTATCACGTTGCGACCCCCACGGTCGTTTCACTATCCACTATCGTTTCACTATCGTCCTGACGATACAGGGGGAGCCGCGCACTTCGTGCGCGGCGGGTCATACAACGTATGACAAGTTTCACTGTAGTAAAGTTTCTACGATACAGGGGTGCCGCGCACTCGTGCGCGGCGGGTCATACAACGTATGACAAGCTTAGGCCGGGTCAAGCCACTGTTAATGGAAAAGTAATATTTGTAAATTATAAATTAAATTGATATTGCATTGCTGATTGCATTGCTGTTTAAATTTTTTCAATTTTTCGCTTTAGTTAAGTTAAGTTAATTTTTGCTTATTATTTGCTGTTAATCGATTCAATATTAAATATCAAATATAAATATGCATATGGTATCAAACTGCAAATGTTCATTTAAAAAAGTACGTTTTACAATTATAATATAATGTCAAACATGCCATGCAGCATGTAACAAGCAAACGTAATTTCAATTCCATTAGCAATTTTAACAATGTAAAAATACGCGCAGTGATACACATTCTATTCTCAGAATCGATTAAGAACCAAAATCGAGCGCTACATCAACAAAAACGTCCAAGCTTGAAGCTAAAAGCGACGCGACGTGACTGTCTGTTGCATTTACTTAGTACTATCATCTACAATTTCATGACAATGCTCTGTTTCACTGTGATGACTGTGCCGAATCCGCCCGATGTTTAAGTCGTTGTGATTAATTTGGTACAATTCCATTTGTAGTCGCTGAACACTCTGTTTGAACATTGTTTTTTGCCACTACTTAAATTTGTATTCCTCTTTGCGGACATTCAAAAAGTTTTAATAAGACTTTCACAAATTGTTCAAAAGCTGTAGAAGATAGATTTTTAGCGTCGATTTTCAGTATGGACGATTGAAAATCCCTTTCAATGACCTTTGTTCAGCAATAACTTTACCAGCGATAACTAACTGGTAACTAACGGTATTAGTAACTCGCTAGATTATAGATGTTATTTAAACACATATGTTTACGTCAATTATCACTAAAATTAATATTCTTTTTGCTTTAATATAATTACATGTCACATGAATTAATGGATTAGTTGAATGAAACGTGTGCTACAAATGTCTACGCCTCACGCAGAACTGCGTACCGCTCAGTACTAATTCATGCTTGAGCGGTACTGCTGTTCACAGTGGCGCGCACTCAATTTATTCACAATAAATAACGAGCGCGCGGTTTTTTGGAATCTCTCCATTATTACATTAATTAGATCGCAGTGCTCACGGCCTGTACTGCGTGAACGACAGAAATATCTTTTAAATTATTTTGCTTCTGAAATTTTGGCTCAAGTAATTAAGAAATGTGACATGTAATTGTAAGATAACAATTAAATAGATCCTGTGCGCGGCGCCTACAGCTGACCTACGAATTTCTGAACAATTTTAAATTGTGGCTGTGTGCGCGGCGTACTGTATATGTGTTTGAAATTGAAATTTGAATTTATTTATGAATATAACATTATGTATTGATTATTTGTGGTAAATAAAAATTTTTCTTTCCTAAAAAATTGTTCTTTCCTAACTTACTTTTCATGAAGACCCCCCCCCAGTGGCATAACTTTGCCTGGTGGTGCACCCCCGCCGAAAATGCGCCCCCGGCCCCCCATTGGCGCCCCCTCCCCTTTTGGTGCCCCTCCCTAAAATTGAACAAATTAGGTGATTTTAGAGGATACGCCGGGGAAATCTCTAAAAAAGTGTCTTTCTAGAGCAAAACGCACAGTTTTGCTTGTACCTCAGTAAAGTTTTGCAAAATTGTCCCACATTCAAACGACGATTTTGCGCCCCCCTAAGATGGCGCCCCCCTCCCCCCGCACAGCGTGGTCAGCGGGGCCCTTCGTTACGCCACTGCCCATGCCCCCTCCTGTCCCTCCCCCTTGAACAGTATGTCATAATACTGTGTACTTTGTGGTTGAAAAGTCTGGGTTTAATAATAAACTTCTCGAATATGAAGCATGGCCTAACAGCATGAATTATGGAGTTTTAAGTCCTTTCAGTCGTTAAGTTTAATACAAACTTTTTGTTCTGGGTATTTTTGGTGAATATTGTTGAAAATTTAGGTGTGCATTAGAAGAAAGAAGTTGTACACTAAAGATGTTCCCAGACCATTAATAATGTTTTTCATTAATTCGCAAAATTTTAGTTGATAGCAAGGAAAAAGAGTCAAAAATGGGTCCAGCAACAACATGGCTCTACAAAACTGTTTTCAAGAAGTACTCAACCATTGCGGTATTTTCTCTTGGAACTGCTATTGTATGGGAGCGATTTATCAATGTTTCGGCTGACAAATACTATGCTGACACTAACAAAGGAGTAAGTAATGCAAATGATAGTTATATTAATGTTGTGCCCATATTACACATAAGTCTTTTTACTAACATAACATATCAAGCCTTACTAACCATAACTATATATATTATAGATAACTTTTATCTAAATTTCAGAGACTCTGGAAAGACATCAAGCATCAGTATGAGAAGCCCGAAGAATAAAATGTATATCATGGGTTTTGCATATTATTGCCCTGCATTATAATAGTCAATCATAGGAAAATGAACTGTAATTTATTATTGCTTTGTCCTTTCATTGTACAGTTTAAGCTTTTAAGTAAGTCCTCAGTCTGTTATTGGTAGCCATATATTTGTCTCTAATCCATTGTCGACATCATTTGTACAAAATATTGTTTTACTGCTTTCTCGTTAGTGAATTTTGTGCATCAAAACTTCAAATGTTTGAAGAGTACCTTATGTATGTAAAATAAACTTTCAAAGAAGAGTAGGTATCAAATGTGGCAAAATTGAATTTCAGTACTGTATAGTGTATTGAACTACTCTATTCAATGTATATGATATCTATACCACCTTGCAGGAAACTATAAGTTGATGGCAGCATTGATAGGGGATCTAAGTGGACTAACCCTATCTGATGGTCATCATCAAACCAGACCTGATGAGTCCATTGAATACAGTTTCAATTCCTTGCTAATCAATGATGATTTGGTATCCCAACAATATTCAGACAAAGTCAAACTAGAAAATAGCATGTTGGTAAAAAACGTAAAAGAAATGAAAGACTACATATTGACACTTCATAAAATGATAGCTTTGCTCAGAAAACAAAATACGGTATTGGCAAAGTCTGACAAACTATCTTCACAAGTGGAATCTCTTTCTTTAAAAAGTAGTGTTGCAGATCTTTGTAATGAAGAGCAGATGCTCACTAATATCATTCAACAGAAACAAAGAGTCTTACAAGAACAGATACTCAGCAACAAAGAGTTTGAGGCTAAAGCAAATAACGAGATGGAAGGCCTCAAAAACCAGCAACAGCAACTCAATTCTCAGATGGAATGCCTTTCTCAAGAAAATTGTTCTCTTTCAGATGCCAATGAGAGATTAAAATCGATAGTTCAAGTTAGAGGTGATGAAATTCAAAATATGCAGAACAAACTAAATGTGTGCTCATCAATTATCGAAGAGCAAAGTAAACCAAGGATAACTGTAATGACCCCTGACGAATCTATGCCATGGATTGTTACTCCAGACGAGATTGGAATTTCATCTCAACTTCTGGGAACTGGTGCCTGGGGGACTGTTACTCTTGGGACTTTTAGAGGACTTACAGTTGCTGTTAAACAACTACATCGCCTTATCCTCTCCCCTCACAACCAAGAAAAGTTTCTTCGAGAGATGGAGATATCTTCGAGAATCAGACATCCTCATATTCTTCAGTTTATATGCTGCTCACAGCAAGCCCAAACATTATTGGTTATTACCGAGGTCATGGAACTTAGTGCAAGGGAAGCTTATTTAAGCAACAGATTATCCAAATCTCAAAGTGTTAAAGTTTTGATTCAATGCGGATTAGCACTCCAGTATTTACACGGTTTCAAACCAGTTCCCATCATTCATCGGGATATCAGTAGCTGTAATGTCTTACTCTCTGCTAAATCATCAACTACTTGGGTTGCTAAACTGTCTGATTTTGGTGCTGCTAACTTTATACGGGACGAGGTATCATCTGCTCCTGGTGCTGCTATTTATGCAGCCCCTGAAGCCTACTCAAACATTCAAAACACTAAACTGGATGTCTTCAGTTTTGGAGTTTTAATGATTGAGTTATTGACTCACCGACTACCAGATCCTACCCAAAGGGAGCAGCAACTTCAAGCTGTTCCCCACGTAGAAGTTAAGGAGATCATAGGATCGATGTTATCACGTCACCCTGACCACCGACCTGATATGGCTTCTGTCGTTGGAACCATTAGAGTTGCTTCAAATCAACCTTCGGGTGTTGCTAGCGATTGTTTTTGATAACCGAATTTGTATTAAAGTTGTAATTTTTGAAGTTTTATATTCACTCAAACAGCAGTGTTTACCCGGTTTTACCTGTTTTATTATATTTTACTCGGACTGAAGTTTTTGTTTTTAAGATTGCTAATTATTGATAAGAATTGATATATTTAGGGTTTATACTATAAAGCTGGATTTAGTTTGAAGGTTACCTTACTCGGGATTATTACGACGGGTTTATTAACGACCGGTTAAAATATGGTTCGGGAAAAATATGGCGAAATTGCTCAAAACCCACCACATTTTCCCGGTCGCCATTTTACCGGTGTCCAACCTTTCAATTTTATATTCAAAAATTTTGTCTCAGATGTAAATTTCCTTATTAGAGATAAGCAAGTTTAGAAATTTTCGCATTGCTAAAACTTGTGAAACAAGTCGAATTATCAATAATTGTTGAAAGTAGACAGAAATAATGACTCGTGGTTAATCAAACTAGATGGAAAATAATTTTTAACATTTGAAGCGTAACAACCAGATCGATATTAAGATAAAGGGAGAGCTGTTTAGTCTTCCAATAAGTTGTAATCATCTTCGTTATCTTCATCTGGATCATCCCTTTCATCAGTTTTAATTAATTCAAGTTTTAATTTAACTGTTACTTTTACTTTGAGTCCTATTTCATTATGTAGAGATAGTCAATACCTAAGAAATTAAAAATTGGCCTATTTAAATCAAATTTGACAATAAGGATATATGACAAGAATTGGGCAAAAAGGTGAATTTTTTGCAATTTTAGCCAAATGAAGTCGAAAAACCTACAACAAGTGTCCCAATAGTCTTCTTTAGTGAATATAAGACAACGATTAAAATATGAGCACCCATACCCCTTGGGAACCCTAAAAGCTGAGTAGGCGGGTTTATTAACGACCGGTGAAAATGTGGTTCGGGAAAAATATGGCGAAATTACCCTAAACCCACCACTTTATCCCGGTCATAATAATCCCGAGTAAGGTATTCTTAAATTTGTCGACTAACTGCTAAATATCTAATTTTAAAGTCTGAATTTTAAAAATAATTTTATAATTGCTTTGATTAAAAAGAAACTTAGTTTATTTTCCGTAATTATAAAATTGAAAATCCTCTTTAATTATGTGCTCAGGAGTAAGAACCTTTAGAAAATTATTGTGTCCCATAAAAATCAAAATTCTCATCTAAAGCTGTCACTAACATTCAACATCATGCCTGCCTGCCTAGGTCGATCCAGATGAAGTCTGGAACGAGTTTCGTGACAGCGCTTCTCTCCATTTATCTCTATCATTCATGGACAAACTCACTATCATAAGTATAACTAATTATAACTATTATGTAAAATATAATATTCAGGATGCTACGAAGAGTCTTGCCCCTAGTGCGATGTGCCAGCCAAGTGCGGTCAGCATCAGCTATCTGCAGTAAACTCCCACCCAGGATCATGGCCCCAATCATGACTCGAACTAAAATGGACAGCAAACAAGGTCCCCAGGCTGTGACTGGTCATCTAGATAAATACGCGATGGGATTGGACAGAAAAACTCCCACCGGTGCCGAGGTCCATGCTGAACTGTTTGAAGTGTTGTGTAACTTTAAGGATTACAAAATCGACAGGGACTCGGTATGTTATCATCACTTTGCTTTTTTTGATTTGTCAAGAATTTGAAATGAGTCTTCGACACAGAGCATACTTTCAGCTTTTTATTAGGGTCTGTTAAATCAAATATATGTAGAGCTGAGGATATTACACTGCAAAATATAATTATATCAGTTCTTTTTGTGTCTTCCAAGAAACTGAACTCGTATCATATTTCAGCTGAACCTTGATCTTAAATTTGTGGAAGATATTGGACTTGACAGCTTAGATTTGGTTGAATTTGTCATGGTACTGGAAGATCACTTTGAAATTGAGGTTTGTATTTTGTAAATTCTGCTGCTTCAACTTTTAACGATTTACGTAGATCTCGGTGATTATAATTATATAGACGGTATTGACTATACATGAACGATTTGCGTTTTAATTTTTCAATACAATATATTGAAACTGCAATTTTTAGCGGAATATTTGAAAAGTATTATATCATGTTACTCGCTCTGCAATATGTAATATGTATATTTATAATTTATAGATAAAAGATTAAATGCTTACAGTGAATCATTTTGTGCAAATTTTCTGAACAAGTTCCTCCTTAGATCACAGACGAAGAAGCTGATAACGTTCACACACTGCAAGATGCCTTAGACGTACTTTTTGTCAAGATTGGACCAGAAGATTAGAATATTTCATACATGAAGTATTCGGACTTTTTATTCGTATGTTAAGAACTCTGCACATGATGGCAGAGACCCGAGTTTCGGCCTAAATACTAATCAGTGACCTAGACTGTTATTAACTTATTAATCGAATTCTGATATTTTGGTGGATTTCCTTAACACAGTTTCCAAAGTTTTAGAGTATTTGAGGGGAAGTAAGGTTCTGTAAGGTCTATTTTAATGTTACAAACAATTTTCATTTTTGGAAGCGGTAACTAATTAAACTCTGTTTCAAGATTCATGTAAATTGTTAATTTTTATACTCGAGTTCTACTTTAACAAGGTATTCATCATTTCAACCAATCAAGGACTGGTTTTAGTGTTATAAGGGGGGGGGGGGTGACATGTCTCCAATGTCTCCCGCACCTTATCTTTTCGAAAAAGACAAAGACATTGGAGACATTGGAGACATTGGAGACATTGGAGACACAGCTTTTGGAGACATTGGAGACATTTGGGACATTGGGGACATTAGAGACACAGCTTTTGGAGACATTGGAGACACAGCTTTTGGAGACTCCTCCTCCTCCTCCTCTTCCTCCTCCTCCTCTTCCTCCTCCTCCTCTTCCTCCTCCTCCTCCTCCTCCTCCTCCTCCTCCTCCTCCTCCTCAGTCCTCCTCAGTCGTTCTCCTCCTCCTCCTGAGTCCTCCTCCTGAGTCCTCCTACTCCTCTTCATCCTCCTCCTCTTCCTCCTCAATCATCAGTCCTCCTCCTCAGTCCTCCTCCTCATCCTTCTCGTCAGTCTCCCTCCTCCTCCTCAGTCCTCCCCAAGTCCCCCTCCTCCTCAGTCCTCCCCCAGTCCCCCTCCTCCTATTCAGTCCTCATCCTCCTCCTCCTCAGTCCTCCTCAGTCCTCCTCCTTCTCAGTCCTCCTCCTGAGTCCTCTTCCTGAGTCCTCATCCTGAGTCCTCCTCCTCTTCCTGAGTCCTCCTCCTCCTAGGTCCTCCTCCTTCTCCTCCTCCTCCTCAGTCCTTCTCCTCCTCCTCCTCCTCCCTCTCAGTCATCCTCCTCAGTCATCCTCCTCAGCCATCCTCCTCAGCCGTCCTCCTCAGCCATCCTCATCAGTACTCCTCAGTCCTCCTCCTCAGTCCTCATTCTCCTCCTCAGTCCTCCTCCTCATCCTTCTCCTTAGTCCTCCTCCTCCACAGTCCTCCCAAGCCCCCCTCCTCCCATTCACTCCTCCTCCTCCTCCTCAGTTTTCCTGAGTCTTCCTCCTGAGTCCTCCTCTTCCTCCTGAGTCCTCCTCCTGAGTCCTCCTCCTGGGTTCTCCTCCTCCTAGGTCCACCTCCTTCTCCTCCTCAGTCCTTCTCCTCCTCCTCCTCAGTCCTCCTCCTCCCTCTCAGTCATCCTCCTCAGCCATCCTCCTCAGTCCTCCTCAGTCCTCCTCCTCCTCCTCAGTCCTCATCCTCATCCTCCTCTTCAGTCCTTCCCCTCCTGGGTCCTCTTCCTCCTCTTCATCCTCCTCCTCTTCCTCCTCAGTCCTCAGTCCTCCTCCTCATCCTTCTCCTCAGTCCTCCCCAGTCCCCCTCCTCCATCTCCTATTCAGTCCTCCTCCTCCTCCTCCTCAGTTCTCCTCAGTCCTCCTCCTTCTCATTCCTCCTAAGTCCTCCTCCTGAGTCCTCCCCCTCTTCCTCCTGAGTCCTCCTCCTGGTTCATCCTCCTCCTAGTTCCTCCACCTTCTCCTTCTCATCCTCAGTCCTTCTCCTCCTCCTCCTCCTCAGTCATCCTCTTCAGTACTCCTCAGTCCTCCTCCTTCTCAGTCCTCCTCCTTCTCAGTCCTCCTCAGTCCTCTTCCAGAGTTCTCCTCCTCCTCCTCCTTCTCAGTCATCCTTCTGAGTCCTCCTCCTCCTAGGTCCTCCCCCTCCTCCTCCTATTCACTCCTCAGTTTTCCTGAGTCCTTCTCCTGAGTCCTCCTCCTGAGTCCTCCTCCTGGGTCCTCCTCCTCCTAGGTCCTCCTCCTTCTCCTCCTCAGTCCTTCTCCTCCTCCTCCTCAGTCCTCCTCCTCCTCCCTCTCAGTCATCCTCCTCAGCCATCCTCCTCAGTCCTCCTCCTCCTCCTCCTCAGTCCTCATCCTCATCGTCCTCTTCAGTCCTCCTCCTCCTGGGTCCTCTTCCTCCTCTTCATCCTCCTCCTCTTCCTCCTCAGTCCTCAGTCCTCCTCCTCATCCTTCTCGTCAGTCCTCCTCCTCCTCAGTCCTCCCCAGTCCCCCTCCTCCTCCTATTCAGTCCGCCTCCTCCTCCTCAGTTCTCCTCAGTCCTCCTCCTTCTCATTCCTCCTCCTTCTCATTCCTCCTAAGTCCTCCTCCTGAGTCCTCCTCCTCTTCCTCCTGAGTCCTCCTCCTGGTTCATCCTCCTCCTAGTTCCTCCACCTTCTCCTTCTCCTCCTCAGTCCTTCTCCTCCTCCTCCTCCTCCTCAGTCATCCTCTTCAGTACTCCTGAGTCCTCCTCCTTCTCAGTCCTTTTCCTGAGTTCTCCTCCTCCTCCTCCTGAGTCCTCCTTCTGGGTCCTCCTCCTAGGTCATCCTCCTTCTCCTCCTCAGTCCTACTCCTCCTCCTCAGTCCTCTTCCTCCTCCTCCTCCTCCTCCTCCTCCCTCTCAGTCATCCTCCTCAGCCATCCTCCTCAGCCATCCTCCTCAGCCATCCTCCTCAGCCATCCTCCTCAGTCCTCCTCAGTCCTCATCCCTCCTCCTCCTGGGTCTTCCTCCTTTTCATCCTCCTCAGTCCTCAGTCCTCCTCCTCATCCTTCTCGTCAATCTTCTTCATCCTCAGTCCTCCCCCAGTCCCCCTCCTCCTCCTCCTATTCAGTCCTCCTCCTCCTCAGTTTTCCTCAGTCCTCTTCCTTTTCAGTCCTCCTGAGTCCTCCTCCTCCTCTTCCTCCTGAGTCCTCCTCCTGGGTCCTCATCCTCCTAGGTCCTCCTCCTTCTCCTTCTCCTCAGTCATTGTTCTCCTCCTCCTCCCTCTCAGTCATCCTCCTGAGTCATCCTCCTCAGCCATCCTCCTTAGTACTCCTCAGTCCTCCTCCTTCTCTGTCCTCCTGAGTCCTCTTCCTGAGTCCTCCTCCTAAGTCCTCCTCCTCCTCCTCCTGAGTCCTCCTCCTGGGTCCTCCTCCTGGGTCCTCCTCCTCCTAGGTCCTCCTCCTCAGTCATCCTCCTCAGCCATCCTCCTCAGCCATCCTCCACAGCCATCCTCCTCAGCCATCCTCCTCAGCCATCCTCCTCAGTACTCCTCAGTCCTCCTCCTTCTCAGTCCTCCTCAGTCCTCTTCCTGAGTCCTCATCCTCCTCCTTCTCCTACTGAGTCCTCCTCCTGGGTCATCCTCCTCCTAGATCCTCCTCCTTCTCCAATCATACATCTACGTCTCCAGTGTCTCCAATGTCTCCAATGTCTCCAAAAGCTTTGTCTCCAATGTCTCCAATGTCCCCAATGTCTCCAATCTCTCCAATGTCTCCAAAAGCTGTGTCTCCAATGTCTCCAATGTCTCCAGGACATGTCTCTGCACCCTATCTTTTCAAAAAAGACAAAAGACATTGGAGACATTGGAGACATGTCACCCCCCCCTATAAGTGAACTTTTCACTCGTACTCGTAGGATCATTATCCTGAAAACTCAGCGATATATTAATCGCTGTCACTAAATTTCCATTCAAAGATTTACCGTATTATATCAAATTGACTTGTAGCTGTTTTAAAACATATTCACTCAAAACTATTGCTTGCTTATTAACATGTTACAACAATAATTAACTCTCAGTGGTCATGAAGTTGAACATAGACGGTCTTCTTGTCCACTTTCCCTACGAGTATGTGTACCCGGAGCAGTACATGTACATGAGGGAACTGAAACAAACCCTAGATGCCAAGGGGCACGGAGCACTGGAAATGCCCTCCGGAACTGGCAAAACAACCACCATTCTCTCTCTAGTTGTAGCTTATCTGCGGGAGTATCCAGGAAAACTCCAGAAGCTAGTTTACTGCACGAGAACGGTCCCGGAGATGGAGAAGGTTCTGGAAGAAATGAGGCGACTGGACGAGTACTACACAGCAAATAACCAGGAGTTGGGGTTCGTAACGGTTGGGTTAACCTCCAGAAAACACATGTGTATCAACCCCGAGGTACTGAGGTTAAAAGAAGGTAAAGCAGTGGACGCAAAGTGTCGTTCCCTCACCATGGGATGGATCAGAGAGAAATATAAAACGGATCCACTCTCCGAGAAGTGCTCCTGGTTTGAGGACTTCGAGGATAAAGGTAAACACTCACAGCTAGATCCAGGGGTGTACAGTAATGATGACCTGCGGAACTACGGCAAGTTAAAAGGGTGGTGTCCGTATTTTCTGGCTAGGACTGCTATCTATACCGCCAACATTGTGGTCTTCAGTTATCATTACATGTTGGACCCAAAAATAGCAGAGCTGGTCAGTAAGAATCTGACTAGTCAGGCTTGTATTATATTTGACGAGGCTCACAATATTGATAACGTTTGTATTGATTCTATGAGTTTAGTGATCAATAGAAAGACATTGGATCGAGCAAAGGAGAATATCAATAAAATAGATAAACGGGTAAAAGAGCTAAAGGAGCAAGATGCACAGAAACTGAAGGAAGAGTACTCTAGATTAGTGGAGGGACTCCGCCAGGCTGCAACAGAGAGTGAGAATAATACTTATCTCAGCAACCCAGTCCTTCCTGCTGACATTCTCAACGAATCCATCCCTGGAAACATCAGAAATTGTCAACATTTCCTCGCGTTTATGAGACGGTTTGTGGAGTATTTGAAAAGTGTTTTAAAGGTTCAACATGTAGTGTCTGATACGCCCGCTTCTTTTCTCAACACTATCTACAACACAGTTTGTATTGACAGAAAACCTCTTAGATTTGTAACTCAGAGACTTAACTCGCTAATGCGAACGCTTGAGATACAAGACATGGAGAATTATAGATCTCTTTCGGTTATTTCATCTTTTGCGACCCTTGTTTCTACTTATTCCAAAGGTTTTAGCATCATAATTGAGCCCTACGATATCAGAACTCCAACTATATACAATCCTGTTCTCCATTTTACTTGTATGGATGCCTCAATCGCTATCAAACCAGTCTTCTCTCGTTTCCAGACCACCATAATAACAAGCGGTACTCTGTCTCCAATTGACATCTACCCTCGAATCCTAGACTTCAGACCTGTTACCACCGCCTCCTACACCATGACCCTAGCTAGAGAGTGTATCCTCCCCATGATAGTAGCTAGAGGCAGCGACCAAGTCTCTATATCCTCTAAATACGAGACACGTGATGATATCGCAGTCATCAGGAACTACGGGAACTTGTTAGCTGATATGGCTGCCGTGGTACCTGACGGGATGGTATGTTTCTTTACCAGCTACGACTACATGGAGAACGTCGTGTCCACCTGGGTCAACCAGGGTATCATGGCAAATGTCCAGAAACACAAGCTCGTCTTCTTTGAAACCCAGAACAACGCGGAGACGCAAATAGCGCTAGAGAATTATTACCGAGCTTGTGATAACGGACGTGGAGCTGTGTTATTAGCTGTGGCCCGGGGTAAGGTATCAGAGGGTATTGATTTCCACCAGCACTACGGCCGGTGTGTTATCATGTTTGGTATACCCTACGTGTACACCCAGAGCAGGATACTTAGAGCTCGGCTGGATTATCTCCGGGAGCAATACCGGATCAGGGAAAATGATTTCCTGACTTTTGATGCTCTGCGTCATGCGTCACAGTGTGTTGGCAGGGTTCTCAGAGGCAAGACTGATTATGGGATCATGATATTTGCTGACCAGCGTTACTCTCGAGCTGATAAGAAGAGTAAAATACCAAAATGGATCCAGGAGCACCTCGGAGAGGGAGTATCCTCCCTTGCAGTGGACGAGGCAGTTCAGCTTGCTAAGAACTTCCTGAGGAAGATGGCACAGCCTTTTCCTCAAGAAGCCCAGATCGGTCTATCAATGTTGACACGTGAACAAGTTAAGACGATGGAGGATAAATATCAGGGGAATGAAGCTGATGATTCCGGTGCCATTTCTGATCCAGAGTAAGCTTGAGATTTCGGTTGAGCTTTTTATATATTTTCATTTCGTTTTTGGTTTAATTTAGGGGAAGTTGAACTTGGGATTTTAATCATTCTTTTTGGAATCACGACTTGAATCTGGTTGTTTGTTACTACAATGACCCTAATTTATTATTTTTATTATTTATTATTGTTTAATATATTGATTGTGAGATATGTTTTTATTGTTATTGTTCTCCAGTTGCATTACTATTAGATGTAAGTCTTTCTTTAAGCAAGATTAATTATTTACCAATAAGGGTCTTTAAGAAGGAATTTTTTGAATAAAAGCAGGAACATTCCTACCATATTAACCATTACACTGATTCGACGTAAGCTGAGCAAAGCAATTTTTACCCACTGCTGATTTGAAATAGGTTGTATTAGTTCTACTCGGATGATATAACTTGAAAAAGATGTAAGAAAAAATGTACGCGAATAAAGCATATCCGTGACACTATGGAATACTCTGGAAAATGAACGACGATGTAGTAGAAGATGATATACCGAAAAGTGAAGATGTTCACGTGCATCTGTCGGACAGATATCAGATCAAGTACAACCATCTCTTGACTTGGTTTCTTCCGCAACTCAAAGCTAAAGATAGCAATGTCTTGGTAAGTTATTTGTGCTATGCATGGCAATTTATTTGCTGGAATCTTTATTTTAAAAGTTTCACTTTATGATATGTGTGCCTACGATATAAGATTTCATTAAAGTTTGGATGCCAATATTGCTAAATAAAATCTCTCGACCTCTTGATTGACAAGCATGCTAAGGATTGTTTCCAGGTACCACTTGACTCAGGGATTGGTTGCATAACAAATGGAGTGACAGTAGTTGGACAGAACAGTAAACTGATACTCACGAGGTCTATGTACAATGTTGTAATTGTTCTGGATATGAGTGCGAGTATGTTCACTGTGGTAAGTTCTTCTGGTTTTCCTTCCTAAATATTATTTAAAAGCAGCCTCAATACTTATTATAAATCAGTGCTAAGTATTGAGGCTACTTTTACATTCTTAACAACCTATTTTAATGTTTTAACAAATTTTGTGCGATCATGTAGAACAACATCTTTTTCACCTAAAATTTCAAAAGTTTTACAGTTTAATCTTGAAGTTGTTTAATAATAATAAGATCATGTTCCCAGGACATGGACCACAAGAAAGTGATAATAGAAGAGCTAGATGAAGCACTGAAGATGTGTATAAAGCCTCTCTGTAACCCAGAGATCCACCCCTGGAGAGATGACAGGGAGCTGAAACTAGATGTTACTCTCACTGTACTGGCATACACTCCACAGTTCAAAAACAGGGTGAGTTCCCTTGGCTGAAAGTGGGGTTTAATCAGGCATATCTGACAAGTTAAATAGTTTATCCTATTCCTTTCTGAGGTTTGCCATAAACTTCATTTCTCATAAACATCCAGAAATTCTAGATCAAAAGAATATTTCTAACTCCACTCTTATATTCTCAGTTTATATCTGTGCTGATACAAGGCTACCCACTAAGCCCAAACACCAGCGAACAACTAACCACCCTCCTGGCTAACAGATGCTCACAAATGCACAACTACATCAAGTCTAGGTCTGATCAGGCAGGATGGAACATCTCTGAGCAGCACAGTGGGGGTAAAACTGATAAGTACGGTCTGTATGGGCTGATAGGGGAAGTGTTGTGTATACTGAAACTACAGAGGTCGAGGAGGGAGACTACACCGGGAGAGTGTTCTGATTATGATAACTGTAAAAACGGTGGGTCAGGTTGAAAAATTTCAAGCCCCGTGAAAATAACGCGATTAGTAAAGAGATACGTTTACTAAAATAAATACCCTTATCAGTTATCATGTCCAGTATTTCATGATAGTACCTTTTTAATCAATGTTAAATTTCAGTAATGATAATGATAACGGACGGGGTTATAGGAGAAACCCATCAAGCCAGACAGATTATTCAGAAGTTACACGAACGTTCCGCTTCTTGTTCCTTTATCAGAGTCGGGCCTTACGATCCAGGTAATAACTTATAAAATCCGATAAATCTGTCGTTATCTATGCAACTCAATAACTACTTCGGCTGCCTGCCTCCTAAAGCATGTCCTATATTGTAAATTTGATAAATTAAAAATCCATCTAACTTCACTTTTTGCCTTTTTGAATGCCATCTAATTTTAAAGATCATGTTAATTGATCACGTGATATCCTCAGAACACTACGGGTTTGGCTACATCCCCAACATCTCGTTGCTCAGGTTTATAGCAGAAGCATCAGGAGGCCAGTACTGGAACTGGCGTAAGAAGCACCGGATCAAGGTGGAGAGTGTGTTCCAGTGGTCCTTGTTTCGGGACCTTCCGGACACTAGGGGCCTCATACCGGTTTGTTGCTATTAATAGCACGTCATGACTAGTTTAAAACTTTTATTTAATTTGGGTATCTGTAGCAAAAAGAACGGGGATTTACGTCCCTTACACAATTTGGTGCACGTTTTTTTTTGTAGCAGATGTTATTGCCGCTCGATCTCGGAGGTCTCTTATATTTCATTTGACAACATTTGACAACATTGTAAAATGCTTCTGAACTGATAAAACCCTTACAACAACTTTTATTCTTTCAGAAAATAGATGAGTCTCCTACTCCGATCCAAGCATCGCTTATATCGACAATAACAAAGAAGATCTTTGAAGGGTTCAAGATTTGTGATGTGAACATTCAATCTCAAGGATGTAAGCGATTTTAGACATTTCGTCGAGTCATGACTCATGACACTCGTTTAGTTTTACTATCTAATGTGGAATGTCTCTACTACCGATCGCAATTGTAATATCATGCCTGTTTTAACTAATTACTGATTTAAAAGTTCGGTATGAAAGTATATTTATATTTGATATCAAGATAACTTTGTCCCGAATTCTTATACCTCACCCTTCTTCAGTGGCACCTGATTTTTCTGGAACAGAAATCACAACTCTTGGAGTAACAATGTCGCTCACATGGCGTAAACGTATACATGTCACCTACGAACTTGTTACTGACCTGCCCATTGAACCTTACAGTGCTCAGAAGATGCCTAAAGTTAAGGTACTGATTTATTGAAGAGTTTCTAATCGAACTCTAAGAGTTTTTAATCAAACTCTTTTAATTAATCACAGGTAAATTTCCTCTGGCCCGGAGTCAGCTAACCTTGTTATTATTATCATTATATCACGTGCAACTGGGATCTAAACTCGTATCATGATAAAGGAGATATTATTATATCGTTCTTGTCTCATAACATGGATATAATACTTGAAGGTGACAGTGTGCAGTTACGGAGATTACGAAGTTATTAATGGCAGGTGTGGTGAGGAGGAGAAACACAGAACACATGTCAAACTTCTTGACCACTTTAAACGGTAAACTTTTGAAGAAGCTAGCAATTGGTTTTAATTAAAATATCTACTTAGAAATCAGCTGATTTTAAAGTAAACTTGTCTGCTAAATCTTCAATTTAGATCAAATTACGTCACATAAACTTAAACATTTAAATGATGTTATTCAGCTCAGTGGAATGTAATTCCATCTAGGAGAACGCTCATAATTCTGGTCTTGTTCAGGTTTGTAGTCGAACAGCTGAAACCACATCAAGACGATTCTTACGAAAAGAGGTGGATATTTGATCTGCACAACTACGCGTACTCAAGCCTCAGTAAGCTCAGCATCTCTCAAGCCAGTCAGAAACCATTCAAGATAGAAAGGATGGGATCTGCTCATAACGACCAAGAGTAAGTTTTATTATTATAAAGGGTCTCAATAAGAGGTCTCGACTGCCTAGGCGTCAGACCTTGGCAGTCGGTAGTTTTCCTCTGGCCCGGGATCAGCTGACCCTAGGGACCAGAGGATAAAGGTGTAGAAACTATATGTATCTACAAAACTTTCAAGGTTGTTTTTACAAGAGACAGGGCTTGCTGCGCAAGGGAAGAAAAGCGGGAGAAACACTCACAAATTATACAAATAAATATTATAAAACATAGCAAAAAGAAATTCAAACAATCCTACACTACTACAAATGTTTATTACATACTACAATGTGATACATGATAATTATATGCTGTATAGACAAGAAACAGGGCTTGCAGGGCAAGAGATGGATCAAAGGGACTAGTCACAGAGTGTAATATACAGTGATTCAGCAAGAACCCATTGCTGAATCTGGCTTATTATTATTATTATTATTATTATAAAACAGGATCTTACCGACAAAAATGATTCTTAAAAATACCTTAATGCGGTAAACTGTACCCTTGAAAAAGATTTTCCCAACATCTGTTGCATGCAGCTATATCTCTAATTTCGTTCAATTCATGCAAGTTGTCCATTTGCAAATTTCTACTACTTAAATCACTTCTTAAAACCGATAACAAGTTCATTCTAGGTCTCCCCAATCTACCAATGAATAAATTATCTGATTCAATAGCAAAAGAGAGAGCCGTTTGGGCTGGGGTGTTCTCCATACTCCTGAGAATGTGTCCAAACATCTTCCACCGCTGGTGTTCAATACGCTTGGATAACTTTTCAACTTTGCACCTTTCATACAATGCTTTGTTGCTTATCATACCTTTAGGCCATTTGATGTTTAAAATGGACCTGAGGTGTCTACGATGGAGTGTGTCCATTTTCTCCATGGTTGCTTTCTTAGGACTCCAACTATTTGAGTTGTAAATCAATACAGATACAACTTGAGCATCATATAACCTCAGCTTTCTTTCAAGGGAAATTTTCTTACCGGACAACCATACTTTTCCAAAGTTCTTAAAAGTAATCTCAGCTAGGATTCTCCTTCTTTGAATGTCCTTCTCAGTACAGAGTAAGGAACCTAGTGACTTGTTACTTCGCCATGGTTCGTTATTAGCTAATGGCTGACCGTTTGTGTCTTTATCAGATTTTTTCGCCAGGTAGAAGGTACTGAATTCAGTTTTACTTTCATTTACTTGGAGGTTCCAGTCTTTGAGAATCTCCTTCACTGTAGGAAGGAAAATTCTCAGTTTCTCGATGTCCTCGTCAGCAAAGTCACAATCGTCTGAATATTCCCACTCAGTTGGAAAACCTAGTTCTGATACTGGTGGGTTTGGTCTCCCAGATACAGCTCTGAGGTGGTGTAAGGCTGCTGCAAGAATAAGTGTGAATAGCTTTCCAGATAAACTGTCACCTTGAAAGGCTCCGAGTAAACTTTCAAACTCTTCCGACAGTGAGGAGTTAACACGAACTCTAAGGAGAGTATTCGATAGAAGGTATTGAACTAAGCGAATGTCGTCCTCCGAACAACCAGCATCCTTCAAAACATTGATGATAGTGTCCCTTTTCACGGTATCAAAAGCTCTACTCATATCAATACCCATTTTGCTAAATGTCCATTTCTTCCTCATCACAACAGATATTAGCATTCTCTGAGCCCACACAATGTCAGAGCAGCTCCTACCTCTCTTGTAAGCACTCTGCCATGGCATGGTGTAGTTGTCAATTCTAATTAATTAACTTACTTATTAACTTAATCTCAGAAAAACTGTCATCTTTCAGCTTGAGCATTTAGTATGATAAGTCAGGGCTAAAATTATGATAGGAGTCTTGGATAGCCCCCATATTTTAATCGTCTCTAAATTATTCAGGATGAACCGCTTCAACAAGTTTTGGTTGCACCTGCTGGCCGAGAAAGACTTCATCGACGCTCACTTTGATGTTTACCAGCTCAAATGTTGGCTACAGTTCGACCTCAATCTCCCTAAATGTTTGACGGGTCTTTCGCGATCCTACAAAAACCAAAACAAGGAGTTCCAAATATACAGCCGATCGCATGGATTTGTGAGTTAGAGAGAAAGTTTGAGGATGTTTAGTTTTTGTTGTGGGCCGTTTATTCTATTAAGCATATTTCAAACATGAAATATTGTTTCAATTATTTATTAATGTCAACAATTTACATTTGGAACACCCTGTAAGTAACCGATATTCTATTTAGCAGTACCGTCTATACTACTACTCCTAACTAGGGTCCTATCACGTGTTATTAATGTCCCCTCTCAGCTACTAGACGTACTAGTAAAGTGGTGTAAAGCAGCTACTAAAGGTGGTAAAGGAGGGATCTTGATAGAGAAAGACGTGTTTATAAAACTATACGAGACAAAGTCCAGTACTGATCCTAAGAATAGCTTCGTGTGGGTCACAGTGTCTCTGACATCTTGTGCATCTATGTCTATCTACATTGCCATGCACAGGGACATTCCGTTCATCGAGCAACAGGAGGTTTGTGTTTATGTCATGTAAATTAAGGTCTCGGTTGATTAAGATTATTATGAATTTTCTTACTATTTAAAAAATTCAGTAGATTTTTATCACTCAAGTTATGTTTCAGTTAAGAAAGGATTTGGTGGATCAACTGATGGGTGTGAAGTTCCAGGGATCTCTGCTATTGGACAGCAGTATTAAGGTCAGTGCTCTCGAGATGGCTATGGAATAAATGTGTCCTGATTACTCTATATTATATTGAGAGATATGCATATTGACAAAGCTCCATTTACCTTAAAATCAAAATCAACTGAGGTTATAATTTAAACTGAAATTGATCTCAAAACTGAAATTTTATTGGAATTAGATTGCAACATGGTGTTATTTTATTGTTACGATAGAAACCCACGTTTGATAAAGAAAACCGCAGGTTGGTCTTGATACAACTCTCAAGAAAAGAGGCGGTAATTTTATTCCCTTTAACCTGAAAGCAGAGTATGCCTGCCAACAGATGCCAAAAAATATCGACGATATGATTTCTGGAAACCTCGGTCCTAAGCGAGGTGATCTGTACCTCCACAAGTTGGTCTGCAACTGGAAAACTTGTCCTGATATAAACTGTTGCTCTGATGATCTTATAAAGGAACTTAGAAACGAGATATTTAACGCTTTGTTCAGGTAACAATCTGTAATGTATTATTTTCTGGTTTCATATTGGAGGCCGCAAACAAACCTATTCCTATTAGTGTAGGAATGCCTCAGTTAATTTCTAACAGAGTACGGTAACAGTCTGATGAGAATTTTTCTAGTATAGTGAGGGTCACGTGATCAACTATCCAGTCTACTTCTTGTCTAGCGTGGGTCACGTGACCCAATGATTGGAGTTTTCTTGTCTGTGTGTGGTCACCTGACCTAGTTATGCGAGACTGGGAGGGTCGAGACAGATCCCACGCGTCTGATCTCATGTCATCAGATATGCGTGATATTCGTCACGGAATGTAAATACCAACAAGCAATGGGAGTCGGGGCCCCTTAAAATTCCCACCAAACCTAAACAGTATAAAGTTCAACTCCCATTTTCAAAACATTATCATAGTTCACCATCTCAAGTCAACTCCTTTACGAAAACAACTTCTATACTCCAACTGGAAATGAAGAACATCGGAACTGCTCCTGAATTTGTCCAGAAGTACAAGCTGATCAATCAGCTCGGAGCAGGAGGTTATGGAGAAGTCTTCCTGTGCCAGGAGAGAACAACCAAACAACTTCTAGCAGTAAAGATAATGGATGATTGGAGATGCAACAACAAAACCTGGTGTCCGAAGAGGAAGGAGTGGCTACCTAACGAGTTGGTACTCTGGGAGTCCCTCTCTCACCCCAACATTGTAAACCTACTGGACGTCTACCGAGACTCCAAGCAGAATACCTGGTACCTTGTTATGGAATACAATCCCGGATTTGTTGATCTTTTTGATCACATGGACAAAAACAGATCCCTACCCTCCAAAGAAAGTGCTAACATCATCCGACAGCTGGTCAACGTTGTGTACTACCTCACTCTCCAGAACATCGACCATCGGGATCTCAAGGACGAGAACATTCTCTACAACCCCGTCACCAAACAGATCAAAGTGATAGACTTTGGATCCTCTGCTGAACTGTCTCCAGATCCCTATTCAGCATTCCGTGGTACAGATGTCTACATACCTCCTGAATATTTCCTGACCGGAAAATACCATTCTTTTCAAGCTTCCGTTTGGGCTATTGGTTGCATCTCCTTTATCCTTCTAAACGGGGACTGTCCTTTCCAGACCAGGCAATCAGTACAGGAGTTCAAAAATGTGGAACAACTTAACCCGACCTACTCCAACCGGACACTGAGACTCAACTTTATCAGGAGCTGTCTGAACCCCAACCCTGATCACAGAATTATGCTGTCTGACCTTCTTCGACACCCTTGGCTTAGAATGTGAACTGCATTTTTGTGATGAATTATTTTGTACATGATTTATGTTATTTGATATTTATTTGATTTTCAATGATACTTCAAAAAGTTGTTTCCGTCATATTCTATCGAAACCTTTAAATTTAATGTTTAAAATCGATATATTATTATAAGTAAAGTGAAGATACCCATATTTTGCAGATACCCATATATTTTTGCAATATAAGCATTAGTTTCAGATTAAAATGTATGATAATTATTTTCTTCTTTTAAAATAATTATTTTCCACGTTTAAATATAATACGAATCTTGTTCTCTTTAGCTATATTGGTTGATCAGTAATTGCTATTAACAATAATTGTTTTTTTCTTTCAATTAAGATTTTTTAGTTTGTTGATTGAGATTTATTTCACCTAAAATTCTCTTTACAGATTGCGATTACAAGAAGAGTTTCGGCCTCTTAACGTTGGTGGCAAAGTATTCTCCTGCTTTCAGATGTTGAAGATGAATTCTCTGACGTCATCACGATCACCGGACCCATGCAATGGAGAATCGGGCGAAGTTACATGTTTACTGCAATATGTGATAAAAGTTGATGATGATACCATGTCATCAGAGAAGAGAGATCAGAGGAAGATATCTTCTAACTTTACAACTGAGGTATCCGTTACTGAAAAGTCAAAGAAAATTGAATTTTTAACTTTTTAAAACGAGCTTTTCATACTGCACTTTTTAAGAAACTTTACTTGCGTTTGATGAATTCCTTTTGTTTTTCGAGAGAAATATGATCATCATCCTTTAACTCTGATTTGATTTTATTTAATTTACGCAGATATTGATCGAGCCTCAATGGGGTACGTCATCAGTCAAATCCGGAAACTTGACATACTTGGATGGACTGGAATTCCAGAAAATTCCTCCTCAACTGTTTGACATGGACTTTAAACTCATCTCTAGTTTGTGTACATTCGCGACCATCAAGAAGCTTTGCTCTCAACCTGACAGACACCAGCCTGAATTCTCCAGCCAGTTTTGTCCTAAACCAACGTCATTCAAAGAGGTTAGCGTTTCGTAGAGTTAATATCGGTTTAAATAATAATTCATGGTTAGGATGATTGGGAAAAAGTTATCTTAGGAAGGGAGTCTGGAGTATCGCCTCCCACCTGTTAATAACCCAGCCAATACTCATTGCAGCCCATATCTACACCTGGTCTACCCTATCTTTTTCTGGTATCTAACCTCCTCTCTAGATCTCATCTCAACGTCCTCAACTTCCCACTCCTATCTGTCATTCCCGGCCCCAGTCAAGGTTTGTTTCATGTCTGTACATGATATGGATTTAATCTAAATTGCTATACTATACGGTCAAATTGCAGTTATGCAGCAAAATAAACACATGGATTCATGATGTTATTTGTACAATGTACAATGTACAATGTACAATGTACAATGTACAATGTACAATGTATATAAGTTGCTTAATGTTTGGCGGGATGACAACTAACGAGAAAAATAAACTTGATTACATAATAATTAATTCGGCTGAACCAACACATAGCAAGAGCCACATTAACGTTGGGGCCGTAAAAATTCGTATCAATAATACGTATCAATAATTCGTATCAATAATACGTATCAATAATACGTAAATCAATAATACGTAAATCAATAATACGTAAATCAATAATACGTAATCACATGGGTGGCAATAATACGTATCAATAATTATACGTATCAAAAATACGTATCAAAAATACGTATCAATAATTATACTTATCAATAATACGTATCAATAATACGTAATCATTAATACGTAATCATTAATACGTAAATCACCTCGCAGAATCAAACCCACAACCTGATCCTGTATACTCCACCACCTCCCCCAACATTTACCTCCTCCGGTGCCTGTGCGAGCTTCTAGAGGTTTATTACTCCAGGAACATAGACTTATGTCAGGATGAGTTGAGGTTGATTCGGCTAAACGTTCTAAGCAGGAAGCCCGTGGGAGAGAAGGTCTGGTTCTCTGAAGACATCCCTGAAGTCCACTGGAAGTGCTTCGTCAGAGTAAGAGTTTTTGATAGTCTGTGTGAAATTCCAAGTCGTGATAGGTCGTTTTCCTCGATGCTTCAGCTACTAGCTAGTCTGATCGGGTTAATTTAATTTATTGAAATTTTATCGAGTTGTGATTATTTTGATTTAAAAAATCACTAGATAATAACAAAGCCTCAACTTCCTTTCAGTTCCACAAATCAGAAAAGAAGGAGCCGACGTATGATAAGACGAGATTACAGTTTGTTCTGATACCCGAACCCCCAGAAGATCTCACAGAATCACAGCTACAAGCCTGGTTTCCTAGTGGTCGTATTGATGTGCTAGTGTTCGACTGTCTTTACAAGATACTCCTCGGAAGTTTCACTAACCCTCAGCGCTGTTCCTTGGTACGGTTTTTGTACAGAATCGGTAGATAAAGTTTAAGAATTATACATACCTGTTAGAAATGATGTTATAATTAAAAGTAAATTGAGATAAAACTGTTCTGCAGGAGAAGCTGTACGCATGTGACAATTACATTGACAAGACAGAAGAAGTAGAAGAAGTGGCCTGTCCTAGCCTGATAATGCAGATAATAGAGGAGAGCACTTCTACACACAACCCCCAGTCCATAGGTTAGTTCAAGGAATATCATACCGGGTATAAGTTCCTTAAATTGAATTATTACCCATATTACGCTAATTATTCCATAACTTCTTCATGCTTCTGGAATCATTCTTTGCGAAATTTGATAACCTTTCATTTTGATAAGTAATTAATAACTTTAACTGCAGAAAAAGCGCTGAAGTTTAAGCACATCGGTGAGATCTGTAAAGCGTACGAGAAATGTTATATACTGGGAGTACATCAGGCTATATTAAGTGATACACCTCTTAAACAATCATGTGTTGATATTGCCATAATGCTTGTTGAGAAACCACGGCTGTTTGACCTTCACGTTAAAAAGGTGGGCTTTTATTCTTCTATCGGAGAGGATTTCTTTGTTTAAAGTTTGAGACACGATTTATTGAATTTGAGTTTCATTCTTTATACATTCTTCACGATATCATCGTATTCTAGACTTCTTGAGTTGTGATATATCACTAAATTTTAACTTTTCAGGAAAGGAAGCACATTCCCCTGGCTAAATACCTGAGTGCTGTTTGTTCCCACGTTTCTGGACAACTGACTTGCTGCCACAATCCATGTTAGTACATTTACTGTTACTTCTAACATTACTGTTACTTCTTACACATTTTTGGTATTTCTAGAGCTTGTGAATTGTAAAACTGGGGACAGTGTTTCATTAAATATTCATCAAGCCAGTAATTATTGTGCATAATAAGTGCATACTGCATAATATAGCAATTATAATTATAAGTGTAAGTTTGCACAGTAACCGGTAAACAATCGCAGCTGACATCCAAGTAGCACTAAACCAAAGTGTTGACTCCAGCGACAGAGACGTGACGTCAGAATCCTACAACGCAGATGTGGAAGCAACACAAGACACCAGCAAGATGATAGCAGAAGAGGACACCTCAGCTAACTTCACGCTGCCAGATAGTATGGACAGTGAGGAGGAGGAAGAGGAGGAGGAGGAGGAGGAGGAGGATGATCTGTCTACTCCCTGTCAGAACGAGGCTCAGTGGACTAGTGTTGTCTCCTCCCCACTCCCTGCAGGGTCTCACAACATCCCCTCTGATGCTTACTGTGCGGAGATTGTGTCCGCTAGTAGTACTGAACTTACTCCTATTATAGCTGATAAAAAGGTACAAATCACATCATTATATATGGCCTGAAAACCTACTTGAAATTTTATGTTTATGTTCAATGAGATGGTCATGTTCAATGTGAAGTAAATGCACTGTGCGAACAGTGAAACATATTTTGCATAGATCTGAATTGAAAGTCTGAATCTTATAATTCACCCAGGATGTGAAACGTATCGCGAATAATAAGCGTTTATATCTTGCAGTTCGCTGACACAATTCGAGCAATGTCAGCCCATTGCCATGAAGAGAATGCAGATATAGATGAAGACAGCTACAGCGGCAGTGGAAGTGATAAAGACCCTCACTTCTTTTTAGGGGCCCCACAATCTAGTGGGGGGTCTGAATCTGAGCCTCAGTTTATAATCAACGATACTGGTAAACTACATAGTATAATACGTTTCTTTCCGTTTCTAATTGTTTTTTTTTTGTTTTTTTTTAAATTTTTATTTTATCTCAACACTTATTTTACTTCGGACATTCCAACAGCCACATTGTTACACAAGTGTGTAACCAGCCAATTACAGGAAGCCGAAGGATTCAATTATACATTAGGCCAGTGACGGTTAAGGTAGTGTGTACCATACTTTCTTCGCCCGAAACTTTGCTGCAATGGGCAGCTCCTCATTTAACCCTCACACCCGATTTCCCGAGTATTTGGCTGAGTGGACCGGGGGGCTGCATAGACCACTCAGGATCCTTAGCTGAGCGTCGACGACGCTCACCCCACGGCTAGTGACAGAGTCGGGAATCGAACCTGGTACCTCCAGCAATACCAGGCGGATTAACCAACTGAGCCACTAAGCCGTTTGAGCCACTAAGCCGTTCAAGAACTTCGATTTTAAATCATTGACGTCCGTATCATGTGTAGTTACTGATTGCAGATATTGTCTTAAAGGATTAGGTATTTATGGTATTGATTCCGATAGTCACTTGATAAACCCAGGGACATCCATAACAAGTTCGGGCGGGATGAAAGAGGAGAGTGACGAGGTTATTCCGGGAGATATTCCCCTAGACATGCCATCCATACATGGTTAGTAACTGTTCAGACACTTTTTTGCAATCTGCCCTTTGTCGTTGGAACGACTGTGATAGTGTGATACCGTCATAGTACCAGTTACTGTTATCATATTATTATGTATATCAGTCAATATTTTAAGTATTCATTCAGTGGCTGTTGAACAGAGCGAAGATCCGTTAATTGAGAAGAGAGTCTCCTTCATTGAGCAAAGAACATTCTCAGCTGGGTCAGAACACAATTACCAACCTGTAATCAACATTATCGCCAGCACTCCGGTATGTGGTTATGACATTTTTGTTCCACACTTGACACTCATAACCGTATTCATTACTTGAATTTTCTAGATTTGCTTGACTTGGTTAATTTTCCTCTAAACGTTTTGCAGCAGTTACCACCTACAGAAGACAAACATGGACACTCTATACAAGTGGAGGAACACCGCTCAATACAAGCCAAGTTTGATGAGATTATAGATTCCAGGTTCATCAGGATCTCCCAGTACAACAAACATTTCTTGGTTATGAAGTCTGGAGACAACCCTGAAAATATGGACAGGTTAGCAATATAACGACAGGTTTAACGAATAACGCCCAAACTCTGCAGTCACATTAATTCTACTGATTAATTATATAATAATGCTTTTTTCAACATACCGATTCACTATTCAGCCCCATGTTTGATTCCAACGTCTTTTAACAAAATACCTCCCCAGTTTCACGACAGAACGACAACCGGTTCTCTTCATGAAGATGTCGTGTGAACGAGCGTTCAGCGAAGAACAGAAGATTCCAGTCACAACTCTTCCCACATGTGTGATGGATGTTAGTGGGGGAAGTGAGAAAAGGAAGAGAGATGTTGACCTGTGGTTCACTTGTTATACTCTTCCTGTAGTCGTTCACTCTTCTCCCGTTTACAGGTCAGGATCATCTTTTTGTTTAAAAAAGAGGTCATGGCGAAGTTATATGGCGAAATTATTTGGCGGAAATTGTGTTTTTGTTTAAGCTAATTCGTGTTATGATGGCTGTATTTATCATTGCAACAACTTAACTTTATCAAATTATGATCGTTGCTCACAGAGGTTTCGATGAAATGAGGTAAACAAATTTTATATTGTTGAAAATCAAATTTAACATAAATAATGTACAAAATAATTCACCACAAAAAATGCAGTTCAAACTCTAAGCCAAGGGTGTCGAAGAAGGTCGGACAACAGAATTCTGCTATCAGGGTTGGGGTTCAGACAGCTCCTGATGAAGTTGAGTCTCAGTGTCCGGTTGGAGTAGGTCGGGTTTAGTTGTTCCACATTCTTAAACTCCTGTACTTCTTGTCTGGAGTTGAAAGGACAGTCTCCGTTGAGAAGGACGAATGAAATGCAACCAATGGCCCAAACGGAAGCTTGAAAAGAATGATATTTTCCAGTCAGAAAATATTCAGGAGGTATGTAGACATCTGTACCACGGAAAGCTGAGTAATGATCAGGGGAAAGTTTGCCAGAGGACCCAAAATCTATCACTTTGATCTGTTTGGTCACAGGGTTGTAGAGAATATTCTCGTCCTTGAGATCCCGATGGTCGATGTTCTGGAGAGTGAGGTAGTACACAACGTTGACCAGCTGTCGGATGATGTTAGCACTTTCTTTGGAGGGTAGGGATCTGTTTTTGTCCACGTGGTCGAAAAGATCAACAAATCCGGAATTGTACTCCATAACAAGGTACCAGGTATTCTGCTTGGAGTCTCGGTAGACGTCCAGTAGGTTTACAATGTTGGGATGAGAGAGGGACTCTCAGCGTACCAACTCGTTAGGTAGCCACTCCTTCCTCTTCGGACACCAGGTTTTGTTGTTGCATCTCCAATCATCCATTATCTTTACTGCTAGAAGTTGTTTGGTTGTTCTCTCCTGGCATAGGAAGACTTCTCCGTAACCTCCTACTCCGAGTTGTTTTATCAGTTTGTACTTCAGGACAAATTCAGGAGCAGTTCCGATGTTCTTCATTTCCAGTTGGAGTATAGAAGTTGTTTTCGTAAAGGAGTTGACTTGAGATGGTGAACTATGATAATGTTTTGAAAATAGGAGTTGAACTTTATACTGTTTAGGTTTGGTGGGAATGTTAAGGGGCCCCGACTCCCAATTCCCATTGCTTGTTGGTATTTACATTCTGTGACGAATATCACGCATATCAGATGACATGAGATCAGACCCGTGGGATCTGTCTCGACCCTCCCAGTCTCGCATAACTAGGTCAGGTGACCACACACAGACAAGAAAACTCCAATCAAAACTCCTTCAGAGAAATGATAAGTTCTTCATTAACACTCAGTCCACTTCTAAGCAGAACTTGATGTACTTCCGCGATAATCTCCATCTATCAGAAAGAGGAATGCATGCAATCACCAACACCATGAGAGACACCCTCGACAAGATCTTCAGGGAGTTTGAGCTTCCAGTCTAAATTTTAGTCTTCAAATCATGACCACCAACCCAACCTCTTGAAAAAATACTATGAATTTACAATCCAAAATTATAAGCTGGAACATCCAATCAACAAATACAACTTTTGGCTCTAAGTTTGATGACCCTCAATTTTGTGCCGTCTTTGACAAGTTTCCTATTGTCTGCCTTCAAGAAATAAGACAACCTGTCAAACACTCGGGTTACAGGTCCTTCAATAAAACCCGCCGGGACAAAAAACATGGTGGCGTATGCATAATGGTCCAAAACGAAATATCCAAAGGCGTTAAACTTGAAAAATCCACAATTGAAGATGTTGTTGCCTGTAAACTTGACAAAAATTACTTTGGCGTAGATAATGATATATTCATTGTTAACTCATACATTAAGCCAGCTAACACTTCCTCTAAAAACTCAAATATTTCGGGCTTTGACACCATCCGTGAACTGGACCAATTTCTCAATGTTCTTTTAAGTAAAGGTGATGTCATTACTTGTGGTGACTTCAACTCTCGTATCGGCCATGACATTGACTTTATCAAAGAGGACAAATGTGGCTACGAGAGCTTCATTCCCCTGCCAGAAGACTACACCCCACAAGAACTTCCAACCAGGAACTCAAAGGACAAAAAGTCGAACAATTACAAAAGACCCTTTCTAGAAATGCTTGTCAATAATGAACTCCATATTCTCAATGGGAGAACTTTAGGAGACTCATATGGTGACTTCACTTGTATTCAGACCAGCGGTGCCAGCGTTGTTGACTACTTTATTATATCACCAAACTGCAGTAAGTATCTAAGTCATATGACAATCCAGCCGTTCACTTGCTTTTCTGATCATAAACCACTACTCCTGGCACTCAACTTCTCTCCTTCCAACACTCTTGTAAACACAAAGGCACTCCATGAAACTTACGCTCGAGCCCCACTTCGTTACAAAATAACTCCTGACAGCCTTTCAAGCTTACGGGATACAATGATGGACCCACTTGTGGAAGAATGTTCCAAAAGCCTCTTAGAAACAGATTATCCCGAAGATCTCCTAGGTACATACAAATTAAACGAAGATATCACAGTACACTTGAACAAAATAGCAGACAAATGTCTCCAAAAGACCAAACATCCCAAAATAACCAAAAAGGGATCAATAAATAAACAACCCTGGTTCACACAAGCCACCAGAGAAGCTAAAATATCTTGTACTCGTGCAGCTCAAATTGTTTCTGATTTCCCCAATAGCGATTATCTTCGAAAAAATTTTTACCAAGTAAAAAATACGTACAAAAGTTTAATTGACCGTACAAAAAACAAATATCTTGACAAATTGAATACAGATATTGAATCTGGTAAAATTCTTAACTGGAAACAATTCAAAAAACTGAAAAAATTTAAAGGAAGAGTTGACAAATTTGATTGCCATGACATGGACAACTTTCAAAAATTCTTTGGTAAACTTTATGCCAATGCACATAGCACCATAACTGTAGAGAATAAGGAAGAAATGCTTCAAAATGCAGAGGCTATTAACAATAATTTCCAACCATCCCCTGCACAATCAATACTCAATGGCCAGATCTCTGTGGACGAAATATCTACTGCGATCTCTTCACTCAAAAACGGCAAAAGTTCCTCGGAGGATATGATATGTAATGAAATACTGAAGACCTTGTCCACAACAAACACACAACTCCTTTGCAAAGTCTTTAACCGCTGTTTGGACACTGGAACTTACCCATGGAACAACAGCATTATTACACCCCTACACAAAAAAGGCGACAAAGATAATCCAGACAATTACAGAGCAGTTGCTGTGAGTAGTACAATCGGAAAACTATTTTCGACCATCATGTTAAACAGGATAATCAAGTTCAAAAATGAATACAACCCGGACCCCATAAATCAACTTGGCTTCGCTAAAGGAGCTCAAACATATGACCACATACTCACACTCAACACCATTACGTCTAAATACAAAAAGCTCAAGGTTCCCGTCTTTGCTGTTTTTGTGGACTTCCGGAAGGCCTTCGACTCTGTTTGCCGTGAAGCTCTTTTCTTAAAATTAGCTAAACTAGGTATCACTGGCAAAACATTTAATGTTCTTAAACATATGTATAAAAATTCCACTGGCCAGATAAAACTATCTGGATTTGTCAGCGAAAAATTTGATATCAATAAAGGAACTGAACAGGGTCATCCACTTTCCCCTGATCTATTTAAGATATACATCAGAGATCTTTCCCCTCGACTAGAATATGATAACTGTCCGAAACTAATGAACCAACTTATCAGTCACTTACTATGGGCAGATGATCTGATACTCTTGGCACTGGACCCCAAAACCCTCCAAAAGCAACTCGATGCTTTGAACAATTTCTGCTTGGAATGGGGCGTCGAAATTAATGCAGATAAAACTAAACTCATGAAATTTAATGCCCGTTTTGATACTTATCAGCCGGTTCCCCTCAAAATTGGTGATCACTTGTTAGAAGAAGTCGAGTCATACTGCTATCTAGGAATCGAAATACACAAATCCGGCACATTCACAAATGCCCGAACTGAGCTCAAAAAGAAAGCCATGCGTGCACTTTATGCCATGAAAAGCTCAGTAAACAAATCCAAATTATCATTCCGCTCTCTAACAACACTCTTTGATGGTCTTATTAAACCTATCGTTCTTTACGGAGCGCCTATTTACACACCTAACATGGCTATCATAAAACACATAACAAAACAAGTCGATCTCAATATGGATGCCGACACAAAAACAAAATTTCAAACTAGTATCCTCAAGAAAATTAGCCTTCTGAACAGCGAAAAAGTTCACCTTCACTTTCTTAAATGGTCACTGGGGGTAAATCGTAAAGCCAGCAACGCAGGCGTCTGGGGTGAGTCAGGCCGCTACCCATTAATCTATGAATGTATTAACCTCACTCTCAAATATAGCCAACGTTTGAAAAATCTCAAAGATAACTCCCTTGTCTCCTTAGCTTTCAAAGAACAGATGAACATGAAATTGGACTGGTACAGGGGTTTGGAGCCTGTCCTCGCGCTAGACCCATGTTTCTCTACCGATCATGTCACAGCCTACCGCACACTCAAAAACAATCACTCCAAGTTACTTTTCGAAAGAAACCCGAGTATCGCAAAACCACCAAAAGAGGACTTTCTTATTCACAACGGTTTCAAGAAACGAATTCCTCCTCAATCAACACAACCCATCGGGAGTAAAATATTCACACCACACGTCATTACTAAAACTTTGAAATGTAACTTTAGAGAATATTGGGGGTCCTGTATCAACACTTCTCGGAAATTAGAATTCTATCGTGACCTAAAATCCAAATTTAACAAAGAGTATTACCTAGATAGTGTCATTAAATATGCAGACCGTGCTAATATCACAAGACTGCGGATCAGTGCACATCGACTCGAAATTGAACTTGGCCGATATAATCAAACTCCACGTGACGAGCGAATATGCTCCTGGTGCAATATAGTCTTAGGTTCTGGTATTATTGAGAATGAAGACCACTTCCTTAACCATTGTGATCTTAACGCTGCATCGAGGCGAAAAGTCCTAGACAAGATCCAGTCACTCATATCAAATCCAATCAAACCGTCTGCGACATCTTATTCTGTTCACAATGTCATCCCTGGAGCAAACGTCCTCAAATTCATCAGCAACAACAGTGAAATCATTGAACTTATCACGAACGAAAGTCAAGTCCACCTCACGAGAGTCGTTGCTAGGTTTGCCACTACGTGTTTTAACAACCGCAAGAAATTTGTTGACTCTCTGGCCAGTACATGAACAGTGAACACTGAAAATCACTGTACCCGCTTTTGTTTCTTTTCGCGCAACGACGAGTGCAAACTGCAAAGTGACCTGGCTCAAGCATTACAGCATTACCAAGGCGACTGAAAACAAAATATTTTATGTCAAATCTTTATTTTTCACTTTAGTTAAGTTATATTAATATAATAAATTCAAATCTTATGATATTGTTATTATCTTAACAGTTACTATTGTAGCTCAAGATTTTAAATTTGTATTCCTTGTATTCCTTGTATTCCTTGTATTCCTTGGGTCACGCGACCCTCGCTAGACAAGAAGTAGACTGGATAGTTGATCATGTGACCCTCATTATACTAGAAAAATTCTCATCAGACTGTTACCGTACTCTGTTAGAAATTAACTGAGGCATTCCTACACTAATAGGAATAGGTTTGTTTACGGCCTCCAATATGAAACCAGAAAATAATACATCATAGATTGTTACCTGAACAAAGCGTTAAATATCTCGTTTCTAAGTTCCATTATCAGATCAAAATAGCACCATGTTGCAATCTAATTCCAATAAAATTTCAGTTTTGAATTCAATTTCAGTTTAAATTATAACTTCAGTTGATTTTGATTTCAAGGTAAATGTAGCTTTGTCAATATGCATATCTCTCAATATAATGTAGAGTAATCAGGAAACATTTATTCCATAGCCATCTCGAGAGCACTGACCTTAATACTGCTGTCCAATAGCAGAGATCCCTGGAACTTCACACCCATCAGTTGATCCACCAAATCCTTTCTTAACTGAAACATAACTTGAGATGATAAAAATCTACTGAATTTTAAAAATAGTAAGAAAATCCATAATAATCTTAATCAACTGAGTAACCTTACCTTAATTTACAAATCATGACATAAACACATCCTCGGTGTAAATCCAGGTCAATATCATTACATATTTCGCATATAACTATACGACATATTTCGAGGGAAAACCACGACATATCCAAATTATAATTGTTAAATGTTGTTACAAACTAATTTAATTTCAAAAATAATTGATTACGAAATTCCTTTTTTTTTCGAACAAATTTTGCGCAATATTTTGATATTTTAACGACATCCGAAATCATGACATCCGAAATCATGACATCTTGTCATGATTTACAAATATCTGAGAAAGTTCACGAATATTTTTACCTGCATCTCACAGGCAAAACATGACATGAAAAACATGACAGGCAAAACAGAACAGGCAAAACATGACATGAAAAACTTTTCCGCATATGCAATCTGATCAACGAGAATCTGACATATCTGAAGGGGGATTAATATAAAAACATCCTTGTGTTTGCAAAATTATATCAAAATAGTTAAGCATTTTTTCAATAAATTTTCCTAGGACTCGCCTGTAGCCCCCTGGATCGGGCTTTGCCACTTTGGATCATTGTGGGGCCCAAAAATGCCCTAATCGGGTGATAAAAACCACGACATATTTCACCCAGATATAATAATGGGGGGGGGGCCAACCATATTAAAGTATATTAAAGTATATCCCCGGGTCAAAATCGGAAAAAATCCTACATTTTAATATACTTTAATATACCTACAATTAGAAGATTTATATTCTTCGTTAAGATTTACATGATGAACTATATTTTTCACTCAGATTCGCAAGATAAGCCTGTTTTAGGACTAGTACATGAATTTCCATCCAGATTGGTCAAAAATTGGCTGAGCTATGAGCTTTAAAAAATATGCCCATATTTGGGCATACGCTTTTGCCCAAATTCGCTTTTGCCCAAATTCGATAAAATTTCAATATTTTTTAATGAGACTAATTCTATGTGAAAGATATAACTCAGTGTTTGTTGAATATAGTGGATACTAAGTAAAAAGACCTCCATGAACAAAATTGGGAAAATTGCACATAATATCTCGGTTCGGAATACTAGCCAAAATGGCTTCATTAAAATTGAAATAACTCCATCAGTTTTCAATTTTTTTTCAAGAACTTTTTGGAATCGATTAAGAATTGCATTTCAAGCTTATTTTGGGCAACAATTTTTGATGTAGGCCTCCAAGGAGATAGGGATATATTAAAGTATATTAAAGTATATTAAAGTATATTAAAGTATATCCCCGGGTCAAAATCGGGAAAAATCCTACATTTTAATATACTTTAATATGGTTGGCCCCCCCCCAATAATATACGACATATTTTTTATGATATTGATGTGGGGGTGTAAACTGGGATTTGCAGTAAATCGGGGTATTATTGTATATCGATTTTAAACGTTAAAACTTTACAAACATTCGGACTCAAAATATATGTATGTTAAATTATGATCGTTGCTCACAGAGGTTTCGATGAAATGAGGTAAACAAATTTTATATTGTTGAAAATCAAATTTAACATAAATAATGTACAAAATAATTCACCACAAAAAATGCAGTTCAAACTCTAAGCCAAGGGTGTCGAAGAAGGTCGGACAACAGAATTCTGTTATCAGGGTTGGGGTTCAGACAGCTCCTGATGAAGTTGAGTCTCAGTGTCCGGTTGGAGTAGGTCGGGTTTAGTTGTTCCACATTCTTGAACTCCTGTACTTCTTGTCTGGAGTTGAAAGGACAGTCTCCGTTGAGAAGGACGAATGAAATGCAACCAATAGCCCAAACGGAAGCTTGAAAAGAATGGTATTTTCCAGTCAGGAAATATTCAGGAGGTATGTAGACATCTGTACCACGAAAAGCTGAGTAAGGATCAGGGGAAAGTTTGCCAGAGGACCCAAAGTCTATCACTTTGATCTGTTTGGTCACAGGGTTGAAGAGAATGTTCTCGTCCTTGAGATCCCGATGGTCGATGTTCTGGAGAGTGAGGTAGTACACAACGTTGACCAGCTGTCGGATGATGTTAGCACTTTCTTTGGAGGGTAGGGATCTGTTTTTGTCCACGTGATCAAAAAGATCAACAAATCCGGGATTGTACTCCATAACAAGGTACCAGGTATTCTGCTTGGAGTCTCGGTAGACGTCCAGTAGGTTTACAATGTTGGGGTGAGAGAGGGACTCCCAGAGTACCAACTCGTTAGGTAGCCACTCCTTCCTCTTCGGACACCAGGTTTTGTTGTTGCATCTCCAATCATCCATTATCTTTACTGCTAGAAGTTGTTTGGTTGTTCTCTCCTGGCATAGGAAGACTTCTCCGTAACCTCCTACTCCGAGTTGATTGATCAGCTTGTACTTCAGGACAAATTCAGGAGCAGTTCCGATGTTCTTCATTTTCAGTTGGAGTATAGAAGTTGTTTTCGTAAAGGAGTTGACTTGAGATGGTGAACTATGATAATGTTTTGAAAATAGGAGTTGAACTTTATACTGTTTAGGTTTGGTGGGAATGTTAAGGGACCCGACTCCCATTGCTTGTTGGTAAATTTACATTCTGTGACGAATATCGCGCATATCAGATGACATGAGATCAGACGCGTGGGATCTGTCTCGACCCTCCCAGTCTCGCATAACTAGCTCAGGTGACCACACCAGACAAGAAAATTCCAATCATTGGGTCACGTGACCCACGCTAGACAAGAAGTAGACTGGATAGTTGATCACGTGACCCTCATTATACTAGAAAAATTCATATCAGACTGTTACCGTACTCTGTTATACTAAGTCCAAAGTTGACTTACAGACGTTTCTCAAGCCATGCACCGATTGCATGGAACTCTCTTCCACTGATGTTGAGATGTATTACTGATACCAACTGCTTCAAGCGAATGTTAAAGAACCATTTATATAATCAGTTTTGATTTTTTTTTCCATTTGTCTTCATTTTGCAAGACACCTTGGCTTTTATTTCTTACCGCACTCCATTTTATGTCTAAGTTCTCTACCTTTCTTTGTCACTGTACTAACCTTTATTATACCTACATGTATTGTATGGTCTCTGCTTGTTTTTAGTTTAGTGTGGTTTAAAATAAAAGATGTTTTAATTTTGTCTTGGTCTTATACTAATATTGAGTTATACTCTTGTTCATTTTTACACATTTGCTCACATCACTCACAGTCAGCCGCTCTGACATGGTTAACCACCTTCCTTGTGTTGTTGGTTAATCATATGAGCGGGATATAAATACCTCATTTCATTTCATTTCATTTCATAATCATCTCCGATGAGAATTTATTTCTGGCATTTTGTTGTATCATGAATTCATGAATGTCTGTAAGTTGAAAGTTCTCATAATCAGACGGTCACCTGAGCCTTTACTTCTGGGAGCTTGTTTACAAACCCACTGGTCATGGCTTACCAAAATTATACAACTTTCATATCATTACAATTGTTCAGATACTCATATCAGTTAAATTATTAAATCATTGAGTACCATTATATCATAAAGACTCTACAAATAATGTCCATCTCAGAGAAGAATTAGGGCAGCTGGTAATAAACAAAAAATACGGAAAAAGGCTGGGGATTAATGATCGGCAAATTGTGAATGGAAATATTCAATGGAATGATTACTAAATTTAAAGTTTGTTGTTTACATTTTTTTAAAAATGACTATAGAATTGAGATTAACACATGATGGTTACCTCAGGTCTCCAACCCACTCATTCATCAACTCCAGACCTCACCGGAGAAAAGAGTCTTACAAAAAATCTGAACATTCTTCCAAAACAGCCGAAAAGAAAGGTATTTGAATTGCGATTGTCTTCTCTATTTCCTTATGTCGCATCTTTAATGAGAGCTATTTTCATACTTTTCCCAAAAATCTCGTTCAACTAAAATCTTGTCCAACTAACAAAGATGAAAATACCGAGTACATAATTATGTGCGGATGAAAAACAAGGAATGCAAATCCTAACACAGGTAACAATGTAACATATAACATTTAACATCTAACATCTAATGTCCTTGCAGGAACAGCTGGAAGCAGTGTCCCTCTGGAGCCCTCCTACTCTGCTAAAGAGGTCGTTCTCTCTAACCCTGACGATACAGACGAGGGTCCCAACGAATTTTTTGCGAATGACAAGAATAAAGTTAAGCAGAGATTCAGGTAAAGATTTTTATATTTACGTATAATAAAAAGCTTCAAAATTCAAAGTGGGGTCTCCGATTTTCCCGTACGTTTCTGAATTAGGAAAATTATATCTAAGGACCATATTGAAGACAACTCGCACATCTTTTTCTTGCTATCATTTCGAATATTCTTAAAACTGAATGATCATCATAACGTCATGATAACAACCGGTTCGTTTTCAGGGACCAGCTGCCGACATCATCAGCGTCCTCTCCAAGTCTTATTCGTTCCATAGCGATCTCAGATCCAATAATCAGACGGAGTATTCTGGAGGACATGTATGAGGATGTGAAGTGGCTGATTGATGATCAGTTCATTACTAATCTCCGCAGAAAGTCACCCGTTACTCTTGACCTTCTTAAACAGGTTTGGTTTCATCTTTAATCTTTGTCTTTTTAGCAAGAACCTATTTCTTGAGAGTTTTGACTGCCTAGTTTCGGAAAATTTATTCAATAAAATCAAATTCCTAGCAAGTAAAAATATTCTCCATAGCATGACCCCTAAATGGATCCTGCTAGCTTTTAAACCATCCATCTATTCTACTTCTAAACAGATACACCCAGGTACTAGACCACTGCAAAGCGTGCCCCGGAAACATCCCGGAACTGCTGTGCGCACACTGAAGATCTCTGTTACGTGGACACTTGGGTAGTCAAGGACGAACGAGCCCGAGGAGATGGAGACAAACAGAGACATGGCGAGAAAATGAGACACGACGAGCTCCTGGCTAAAATTCAGCTCGCTTGGGAGCGTGAACCCTTTAGTTTGTGTCGGATAGATAACTTCTTCTTTTACTCGCTGGATGTCGAGAATGAGGAGAGAGATAGCATGTATGGAAGGGAGATATTATCTGCTCAGAGCAGTATTAGTAGTATGGGATCCAGACCTTCTCATAACAGATCATCATCCTCCTCCTTCCCCGATGATATCCCGGTTAGTGTTTACTCTTCAACTCATATCAAACCCAAACATTTCAGTGTAGCATGTTCTGGCAGAGGACCTCTAACAATTCCGTTTAAAATAGCCATCACGAATGTGGTCCACATTTTGTCCCAATAAAATATCCTATTTTCAGCTATCAACAGAGAGCACTATGAGACCATGCTCCAAGTTCTGGATAGTAATCCAAGTTACGTACACCCACTTGCAAGTAGCATTCCAAACTTCAGATACAGGATACGAGGAGCTGATAGACCACACCCTGCTTAACAAGATAGTATCTACTATTGTACACCTCAACAAGATACAGAACCAAGAGTTCCTGTTGCATGAGATTGTTGAGAGTAAACTTTGTCCTAAAGAGCTCCTTCATGATCACACGCCTCAACCTCACGGTTTGTTAATAAGATAATAATATAATGTGTAACTATAAGATAATAATAATATGATGTGGATATCAGATTGTACTGTTTTGTTGACTATTTGACGATCATTTTAAATGACAATAATACCTCTCGATATTAAGGAGTACAATACTGAATAATTATTTAACCCTACACTAGTCACAATACATCACGTGACTGATATGATACGCTGTTCCAGGTGAAGGGTACAATAACACGTACGTATGTGGCGTGGTGCACACCATAGAGGTACAACTCTGGGATAAGGACGAACACGAGGGATTGAGGGACATTAAGGAGTCTCTCTTCAACTTCAAGTGTGATAATGCTGATGAGTTCGTCTACTTTTACCGACAGGATGCTGCTAAGGACGACAGTAAGGGACCTTGTTAATTGTCCTTGTTGATTTTATTTGGTGATACATTTTTGATCTATCCAGGGTATGAATAATATCTTCTATTCTGGCCTTTGTTGTTTTTGATTAACAGCTTGAAATACCGATACCGCTGACATATCTTATGCCTTCAACTTCAGGATCTACATTCTACTTCCAACTTCCTGAAGCTTCAAACAAACCTGGAGTAAAATCAAAGAAGCTTTGTATAGACGTACGCGGCTTACAGCCTCCAGATCCAGACAAACAGAGCTCCTTCGACCACTTTGTTCAACAGAAGCTGGAGGAGGCAAAGTTAGAGGACATAGCTCACAGACTCAACAGGAACAGTCAGGCTAAACTTACCGCTGAGGAGGTGTCCTTCCTGAGCAACAAGAACTGCAAGCTGTACAAGACCATGTACATTAAGATTCCTCCTTATGTTTACGATTTTTTACCTCACTTCTGGTTCTACCTCGATCAGGTTAGTTTCAATAATTGTATTTTAACTATAGAGTAAGTCACGTAGTATAAGTTGCACGATTCTGTTATATTCCATTTTAAAAGATACTACCTTTGCTTCCTGAGTTTGAGTCGGGACTCCAGATAACATAAGAAAGGAACTAGCGTGAAATATTTCACCCTTCTCACAAGACTGATGTTTCCTCCTCAGCACTTAGTTCAGCAACAAGATCTGTTCTGTCCACGATACGATTCTAACAACGACAAGAGAATACATTTTTCTAATGAGAAAACAGGGGAGGTTGAGAACACACGCGATCACGAGGTGTTCATAAAACTGCTGATAAAACTTATCGGAAATAGAGCTGGTCATCACGATGGTAATTATTACATTCCATTTTCAAGTTTACTTTTCAGTTCACATTCCATTCACATAACTGTGATTGAAATCTATCACTGCTGAATGATATGAGTTATTATGTTAATTACTGACCCCGCAGGTAGATACACAGGAAGAAGTCACATGCACAAAGATCCTCTCTTCCAAAGCCTGCTCCTCGTTAACATTACCATAGTAGGTCCAGATAACCAGCCTGTTGATTTCAACAAGAGATGGTTTAACCACAGGTCCCCTGTGTTTGAGCAGGGAGGGTACGAGCCACCATCTGCTAGACAAAACGAGGATATCAAACCTTCTCTTAAACAAGGTACAGACCTACTGAAATGTTTGTTCGCTAGCTAGACCAATCTTTAAATGGAATAATAATGGATAGACTGGTCAGTAGTCTGTAAACAATTGATTTTGTATTTAATTGTAATACTGGTAATAGATGGTCATATTTCCAGTAAAATTCCTCCCTCAGTCTTACTCGTGCATATCTTATACATAGGTAGGTGTGATCGTGGATTCACATGACCTCCGTATCTATATTAATTAATCTGTTCTGTATTCGCAGACGACAAGACAAGATTAAGCTTGAAACTACGTATAATTGAGAAGCGTAAAAAAGCTGGTTCAAGTCAGAAGTCAGACAGAGAGATCGAGTCAGCCTTGTATCAAGCCGTGCAAGCAGCTTACATCAGCTTACTGTTAGAGGTACAGTACAGCTGGCTTTGCCCTTTGGAAACAAATTTTATCTTAGTTAACTTTATTTTACTTATTTTCAATTTTCGTTTTAAGTTCGAGCCTAAACTGTTGGAAATTAGATATTCTAAAGCGTGAAATAAACCAATAAAACACGATCCATTCAGGTCTACACTCTACATATTACCAATTAATATTAACAATTAACCTAATTAATTCAGGTCTACATATTACCAGTAGAGTTAACGATAAAAAAGGCCTCTCCAATAGTAGCCTGTCTAGATGAGGACCTGTCCGTGACCCCAAAACAGATGAGTAGCAGTTTGGGGGGCAAGTCAGGACATGGTGGTCTGCTCAGCATGATGAAGGGTAGGAGGAACAGTCAGGAGGGTATAGATCGTGACACTCTGAAGGAACTGGAGACTAGAGGTAAGTGTTATTAGTGGGGAGGCGAGCATGGGTTATGAGACTAATCCCACAACTTGTTATCTCAATTGTTCGACCTCAGAGCATTTTTGTTGAGTCTTGAAGAAAAAAATTGGACGAGGTTTTGAACTGAGCAATCGATACTGTTAGGGAATTATGTCGTTGTATCGAACGAAAGAAATCACGGTATGGCTCGTTAAGAATACACAGGTTTCAGCATGATATCTTAAACCGTGATCGGTCGAGACGTAATTCTAGTCTCATAATCTTAGATCCAATCCTGAGCACATCCGTGATCTTTTTCTAATATATTTTGGGTTTATTTTCTCTGATTTTACTGAAACAATTGATCGGGTTGCTGAGCTGTGGGTTGGACGGTTTGTATCTGTTGTCTTTCTTGATGTGTAACTCTTCTATCTATCTACGGGATATTGATAAATAACTTTAGATAACGCGATAACACAGCGAAGATTTCTGCGAACTTGGTCCTTGCCTCCTGAGATGCAGATGAGCACCTTGACTAGCACTCGTGCGAGTGCAGAAACCAGCACTCGACCGAGTGCAGAGAGCAGCACTCGTGCTGAGTTAGCCAGATCGTCATCCAGCGATTATCCCGGCATGGGCCGTAGGTTTTACATGTAAACCCAGCATTTGTCACGTGATATAACACATGATCTGATCATGTCAGGTGTTGATCTGTTCTGTGCAACAGAGATTTGGAGCACCAGCATGCAGTCTTTCCTTCATTCATATTATGAAACTACTGCAAATATCTTATCTTTCTTTCGAAAACTTGCTTTATATTTCAATATAACTTGTTTAAGTTATAATAGGATACTTCCCTCTGCATTTTCTTAATTTTCTGCATGGTTTTATTTCAATCTTTCTGCTTTTCTGCCATGCCGTAACTCTCTTAAAAACAATCTCATAATTTAGTATATTCTAGCATGATTGTAATGCTCCGACTAAGAAGTGCATTGCTCCCCCTCTTTATTAGCTGCTTCTCTGACTGCTGTTATCTTATCTCCAGTTTTAGGATTATAAGTACTTACGACTTTGTCTGTGAGCAGCTTATCCTACATTTTTATTTGAATTCAAAGCGGATTGATGTTCATGCAACAATCAACTTGAACACTGAACATGTAATCTTATACTAAGCTGTGTGATTTCGTTGATTTACATTTTTAACTGATTTACAGCCCAACTCTAATAACTTAGTAATTATACTTAGCAGGAATTTAACTTTGCCAACAAGAACACTCAGAATTATTACTATAACTATCAAAATTAAGGTTTCTTTTTAAAACCGTAATAAATTAATAACAAGTAACTTATCAGAGAGAATGAGGAGGAAGATGCCTACTAGCAGCTCAAAAGATGAGAATTGCAGCTTACATCCCAACCTACGGGATCCATGTTTCCAAGCTTGCAGGGTGAGATGAGATACAGATATGAGACAAACTCATGTTGTGTTCTGCAGCACTGGTGTGCAAAGTGATGTTTAGTTCATTATTTATTTAAACATAATTTATTGCAAAATTTATTAATTAAAGCTAAAGGTGTGTCTACTGTTTAGGTTGGAGCACAGTTAAAGACGAAGATAGTGGACCATCACTTCATGCAGATACCATCATTGTTCGTGTCGAGTCAAGTTATCAACAAAATAATTGACGTAAGTTTTTTTCTTCTCAAAGACTTTTATATTAATAAAAGTTGGTAGGTTTTCTTCTTTTACGAAATTTCTGTATATATCCTAGAAGAACATGACTGTCCTTAACACCCATACTCCTTTCAGGGACTTTCTGGTAACTTCAAAGTGCGAATATTCGGACAAGACACAGACTACAAGATGATACCACCGACCTGCCACAAAGAGGACGAGATAGAAAACAGCGGGATTGTCCTGGTCGCACGGCGCCCTTCTCTCTGGAACGAGAGCCGCGTCAAACTGCGCCACGGCTCCGATCTTATGGTGAACGACGAGCGTCCGAACATCGAGCAGATACTGTCCTTAGAAACAGGCACTATAGACGTCAGACAGGGAGATGAGAAACTAGAGGTACCCAGACAAATGCACATCATGGTTACTCTAAACTGCAAAAAGTTAAACTTCTACTTCTACAACGTTCACAAACAGGTTAAAGACCCGTTTATAGCTTCAATTAAAAGTCTAGTCACGTGGCTGAACACCCGGAAGATGGTGTTGAACAGACTGCTCCTCCTCAAAGCACGGCACGAGCTTCCTCCCCATTACGCACAATCTGAACTGCTCCCTCAGAATGAGGAGGAGCTGGATCAGTTCATGGATCAGAGAGAGCCGGCATCTGATCAACATGCAGCTGATAAACAACAGAGCACCTTCAAGAACAAGGGATTGACAGAATATTACGAGCATTTGTACGATCATTATCACCCCGGAATATTGGGGGTAGAAGGGAATCAGTTGAGATCACGTGATCCCCTGATCAGACACGCCAGCCAGTTGGGAATGTACATGCGCGCTGCAAATCAGAAAAAGGAAGAAGAGGAGATTAAGGTTGATCTGGACGATCCGGATCTGCCTAACAACATCTCTTGTGAACAAGCTAAACTTCTAAAGAAGAATGCTCGACTGATGCACTACATTGCTTCGCCTCTTCTCTTCAGTTCCAAACTCACATCCTCCCAATCAGACAGAGAAACGTTTTCCTACGTCAGTAACATGTCTAATGACATAACTTTAGAGGAACCAGCCTGGTTCCTGCACTTCAAGAACCAACTGTTCGACAGGTTCATCGCCTACCTCCGTGAACCAGCACGGGGTATCAACATGACATTGAAGTACTTGCCACGTGGGTTAAACAAGGACGTTGAAGTCATTAACACACTAAATTATGATGACAATGAAGCGCTCCTTTGTAAGGAAACAGTGGGTGGTGGACGTATACTTCTTGGAGTCCTCATTCAAAACTCCACTTTCTGCGTGAAGCTATATGGCTTTGATTATGATAATAGATTGAGACTATTCCAAGAATGTTCTAATTTAAAGGGGCTCACTCACACCAACAGTTTTAACTATAATTGGATGGTTCAGGCTATTTACGACTCCTTGGTGGCTCACCAGAAAGATTTCCGTGTGATACAGAGATTGCCAGTTCATTACTGTGTTCAGAGCATTGTGAAACACTATGAAACAGTCCCTGAACCGCCCCATATCAAGTGCTGGATGAAACACTTTACCGATTTCACCTACTCAACCCCAAACATTAACCCTGACAATTTACACGATTACATAGTCAAAAACCAAGATTCTTTCGGGTTGTTCACGATACCCAGCGAGACAAATACAGGAAGCAAGAAACTCGAGGAGTCTAAACTCTTGGTTTTAATACCACAAGACATGCAGGAAGACTTTCAGGATAACTATAGACTTGCTATTATTGTATCCGAGTTGACTTTAAGTAAAGTTAGCGCCTGGGAGTTTGGTCTGTCCTACTACGTTATTCTAACTTCAAAACAATTTGATTCACCCTCATCCACCCTTCTTAAAGAGCAGTTGTACCTACGAACTCGGAATGAAAGTTTAACCGGATCAGTAGCTTCCTCAACCGGATCGGAAGATGGCTTGAGTTTGTTCGATGCACGATCTCGTGTAAATTCTCAGTTCTTCAACACTTTGAATAAACAAGAGTCGTATCAAACCGCAAAGCTCCGGGCTGAAAAGGAACTGAGGGAGCTTCTAGAACGATCTGTGAGAAGTTATCATAGAGATGGGCTAATTCAAAAACTGTTGCGTCCACCAACTACTAAGAACACAATCTCCCTGGAACTATCTTATCATGGCAGTAGTATTCTTAAAGACGATTTCAATTATAGACATCTTAAAGAGCTCATGGGTAGCTTGAGTTTTCTGAAGAATCTTCTTGAAGAAAGATCGTCGATTTACAAGCTTCTGCAGGATTGGACTTATCCTCGTTTCAAGAAGCTGCTCGATTTTCTAAAAGGTAAAGTTGATATGTTGGTTATTCTTGATGATGAGTCTTCTGACAAAGGAGAAATTGGTCTCCTCTCAAAACGTACCCAAGTTCCTGGAAAACCAGAAAAAGTTTCATTGGTTGTTATGAAACGGACTAAATTTTTCAACCTTGATGTTTTTGCTGTGCTAAAAGACCAGGACGAGTGCAGAGATATTGATCATATTCAGTTTTGGGAACGCATTTTATCGCTGATTTGTGTTTATGTTTGGGAGCGTTTGATTTAGTGTCCTTTTGGGGAGTGGGGACAGTTTACAGTTAACGATTGGATTTAACTGTTGAAACATTTATACTTTACAGACATGATAATTATTACTTCATTAGCATTTAACTTATTTCGCCGCTTTTCTACGTTATTTGGAATGTTTTAATCAGTTGTTGATTATTGTACTTTAAAGTTGATTTTGCTAAGAAAATTTTGATCTTACAGAAACTCTGAGTATGTTCCTGTCACAGTTTTCATAAGCATAGATTGTAAGGCGCGGGGTCTCATTCACAATAAAAGCATCGCATTTTTCGCGCGCACACCAACATTATTTATATACCTAACTCGGGATTATTACGACGGGTTTA